TGTAATTTCAGCAAATTATGGCACATAAACAAAAACTTTATTCATCCAATTACTAAGCATTGTAAGTAAATCTGATAAATAATTACTTATGAATAATTAATAGAATATTTGCCATCATTTATAGTAAAATATTCCAAACTCTCAACAATGCCAGCATCAATTTTCATTTATTCATAAATATTTCATATCAGTTGTAACATATCATACAAACAATTAAATATATATAGAGATGATATTGACAATAAATCCTGGTTATATATTACGTAACAGAGGACATGCAACCTTTCCATATTTTCAAAAAATTTGTAGATATAAATAATTTATTGAATAAATAAGAGCTCCGCATAAGACCTTTCACAAAGTTTTTTCATCTTATTTTTAACCAATGCCTAATTTGGCAAAAGTCTCAAAACCTTTTAAGTTTAAAAAATCACCCAAGTTGATATCATATAAAGTATTGTATATATTCGGCTTCATAAAAGTAAAGACTTTTTTGGAAATGAAAATAACACAGACATTATTTATTTGAATGCAAGCCACACTGATTCACGTATGCTGCCTGCCAGATACCATCCTAGTGTCTCAATGCAGGGTGTTCATATTTATCTGAGGCAACAGATGTGCCAACGAAAACAACAAAAGCAACATTTGGCCCAGGTGCAAGTTTTTGTACAAAATTCAGTATATTTAATATACATGTTTGTCTTTATAATCATCCAGTTATACGTGAGCTCTTGGGATTAAACATAAATGGAAAAAAAACACAACGGACTAAATAAATAAATTGGCTTTTAAGCAAACTATTGTACTAATCCAGGCTCCACTGGAGTTTATGACTCAGAAATAAACATTTATTACTTTGTTCAAGTTCATTGACCTTTGACATTATACATATGATGTCCGAGGTCAGGCCTGTTTTTCTTGCTTTATACATGCATATCCTGTAAGGTACTGCCTTGAATATTTTTTTATGTGTGAGTATAAAATATTTCTAAAACACACACAATAAACAAATCTTCAAGACGTAAGGGCAGGATCACAAAAAAGAAAATGGAAATGTTTAGTACTATATTTAATAACTGGAAGAAAACAACTGAACATTCATATCAAAGCCAATATGGATGTCTTCAATAGAAAAAAACAACAACAAAAAACAAAAAGATGTATTTGATCAGTAGAGAACCCATGATCTAAATTGAAAGGTTTTTAACCAATGCCTTGAAATGAATCTTAAATTTAAAAAACGATGTATTTTTCAAAGACGTCTGCTGTGTAGATTGTATAGATTTAGTAGCACAAATGTTGTCTATTCTGCACAAATCATTCTAATAGGGCGAGAAGGTCATTTGCTTTTTTAAAGATTTTTCTTATCATTTTTATTGTTATTATCACAAATCTACACAATATTACTCCAAACATTCACATTCTATCCATTAAGTTATTAAAGTAATATTTTCAACACAAAAATACTCTTTAGTTCAGTGATCTTTACTCTTGTATTAAGATATATCGGTAAACCAGATCTGCTACGAAGCAGATAATCTCGTTAGACAATGTCTATTCAGTAATTCAACAGTTTTGTCTTTGGCAATTATGGGCACTCCGATATTATCTTGCGTCAAATTCGTGCTATGAATAGATTCATAAGCCAGTGTAACAAAAGGAAATAATGGCATTTGCAATTGAGCTCTAGAGATTTCTAAATTTGATTAGCGCTACTGTTTCTCATGCGTATTTGGCAGTATATTTCTCGGACTAATAAAATTATGAGCACCATTTATGCAATGTATTACATGATACGTCTCAGATGACTAACATTAAAAGGTTTCTGTCAGCCAATTAGACTATTTTTGTCATTGAACATTTCAAATAAAGGTTACACTAAGCATAAAATCCCTATTGCTGTGTCGGTTACTTTTGATCCAGTGTTATCAATTCAGTAACCTTCAACATTGCCATTTATGTTCTACAGTCATATCTGTATCAGACCACCTATTTAAAGGTAAATCGGCCAAATACTTTCCCAAAATAGTTTCTAAATATTTAATATCTAATTGTTATAAAATTATCTCTATCAATTTATTGGTCGAAACATTAATTTAATGCATGTGACAATGAGATGTAGAAGTATATTAAATGTAAGAGATTTGTGTATGCATAAAGAAGTTTTTTTTATTAATTGAACAAATTTCGTATGTTTCAAGGGTATTTGAAAAAGCAAAGTAAAAGTCAGAACTGGAGCCAAAAAAAGTAGTTAAACTGTCACATTTAACCAAAATCAGTCAAAGAGTGTACTGTTAGTAAGATCTACAAGTGAACAATAAATAATATGTGTATATAAACATAGTTTCAAACATATGCTCCCGCATCAACAACTATGCCCCACCTATTGACAAAATTGTAACGTCATCCATGAACACACTTTTACCTAAAAACAACTAAAGGTCATTTTGATAAAGGGTAGGACTATACCTCTTGCATTATAAGCAGGGCTGCTTTTAGTCAAATCTTGTGTATGTCTAGCTGCAATGTTATATAGTCTATCCCTTTCATAAAGATAAGTAGGGTCAAATGTTCAGGAGATTTCAAAGAGCGTTAAGTACTCTAGAGAGTGTATGTTGTTGATCAGAAACGACCACCATTTGTAAGGAATTATATAAAGAATTCGAGAGAATAGACATAAATGTTTTACATATCGCCTGATGTTACGACAATCACATGTCAATCCCATTCTAGACAATAAATAATTAGGTATGTTTACCAATAATAGACCAGTCTGGTGTAAGATTTAATTGTTGCTTCGGGCTGCTTTCTTAAACCAATGACCTGCTGAATTTCTTGATGGACTTGTCCATCTTTCAATCCAGACAAAATCAGTCATTATCTATAGAGAAAAATTACGAAATATTTACTGACTGGAGCACTGATTGAATAGCGAAAATACGCAGGTCATGATTAGACGACACAGATGTTCCAGCAGAGCTTGCTCTGCTAAGACAGAATCGGGTGCTTTCAGCAGTATAGATGAATATGTAATCACAGGAAATCTTAAGGATAAATAATTATTATCTAAGAAGTGAACATCGCTCGAGTGTTTCTCCTCCTGGTTGTTAACATGTTGAAAACGTATATTAAAATATATTGCCTGGAGAAAAAATACAAATCGCTGTGTAGACCTCCTAATGTCATCATAATTACACGTCAAAGCCAATCAAGACAGACAACTTTTCTTACGTTGGGTCTGTTGAACTGTTTCCTATGTGACTGCGTTCTGGCGAAAAATAGTATTAATTTAATGACATGACCAATTCATTATCCAAGAAGTTTTGTAGGCATTATTACCATTTTAACCCTTACACTGCTGAATATCTTAAAAATACTTGCCAATTTTTCCATCTGGACATAACAATGTATCATTTTAGGGAAAATTTCGAAATACGAGAATAACGAGCAGTGACGGTTAATCTTGGTCTGGACAGGTCGCACGGGTAGTTGCACCAAAGAACCTTAAATTTCCAAAACATTTTACTATATGTTAGCGTGGCTGAGTGATTACCGCGTCGGACTAGTAATTTAAGGATTGCTGATCGCTTGGGTTCAACCCATGTCAGGGACAAGCCTTTGTTTCCTTGAGCAAGAAACTACGTTTTTGGCTTAGTACTGGTTGGTTCCAGGAATGGATTCAAAAGTGTTTCCATAAGCTTATAGATTTCGACACAATCGAAGTTAAATAAGTCTCTGTATAAACATATACAGTATTGACAACGTATCCAGTTTCTGTACGTATAAAACACATCAAAAGAGATTATTGATAGGTTTTTAAATTAAGTTATATTGTTTCTAGCCAATTTATTAAAGTTCATGGAAATTTTCATTGTAAGGTTTGGTATTATTAATCTAAATTTATTTTACCAGTATTGAACATAGGAAGTTAGAAAGTAAGATAATGTAAGATGACCCTTATTAAATGTGAACTTATATTTTTCAGGTAATATGAACCCCTTTACATGTAAGCAGGTAATACGGGTACTTTTACACGTAAGCTTGCATTATGCAGGTAATATGAACTCCTTTACATGCGAACTTGCACATTGCAGGTAATGAGGCTTTCTTTACAGCAGGCAAATTTTCTTCAATTACAATATATATTTGATCTTATTTGCAGTAAACTGGCCCCGTTTTCAAGTTAACAATTAATCATAATACTTTTTCAACGTCAGTAATGGTAACCTTGACCTTAGATCCATTTGGATTCAATAACAGTCAAAACCCTGCTAGCTCAATAAGTTCTTTATATAAAGTTTATTGAAACTTCATAAAAACTAAAATAATTGATTATAACTATTATTTCTTATGTTTGACTGAAAAAAATAAAAACCTATTATTCAAGTCATTCGCTCGTTTAAAACAATGGTGTTCCTAAACCTTAACAATGCAATTGCAAAAATGAGACTATTGGTTTGGTTCATAGCTAAAATATCAACATTTTAGTTTCTGCCGTAAGAGGAGAAATTAAACTGACAACATTATTCTTATAGGAATATATATGACTCATAACCTGACCATAGAATGAAGCTAAAACAAAATATGTACATCCGATCTGAATTTGTCTCTTTTTATTATAAAAATATAACTCTAGACATAAAATATATTCAACAAATATAAATAATGCTAATCTATACAGTTTTACTACTAGTACTACAATTAGCAGTTGGAATGTTATATAAAAATTTAAAAATGATCCAAACAGCAAAAGACGTAAAATACACACTAACTGTTACCTTATACACTTCTTTGTGTATTCTATCGCAAGTTTTAAGTTTAATTCATAAAAAATTGAATTAATTGGTCTTCATGTCAAGTAATGAAACATGATTTAATCTTAGTTTGTTTGTTTTCTTCGATTATATTCTGGCTGTTGATCCACCTAATCAGGTAAAAATAATTTTTCTACACAAGTGACCAACTAGTATTAAAACAAAAACTTCTATAGATAAAAATCTATAGATTATAAACAACCAAGCGAATATTTTTTTTAATTTTAGCAAGCATAATACAAGCATTAACAAAAGCATCTTGCAAAATAATAAGCAGACATGAAACTGATTTGATATCATCCTGTAAACTGATAATAAAAAAAAATCTTCTATATCTTTATGAAACAGAAAAATATGCAAGAACAATAGTTTCACTCAATTCTATTATTTTTGTAGAACAGCAGTTTCACTTGATTCTTTTATTTTATAGTACAATAGTTTCACTAAATTCTTTTTGTAGATCAATTGTTTCACTTAATGTAATTATATTTATAGAACTGATAATAAAAAAATATCTTCTATATCTTTATGAAACAGAAAAATATGCAAGAACAATAGTTTCACTCAATTATATTATTTTTGTAGGACAGCAGTTTCACTTGATTCTTTTATTTTATAGTACAATAGTTTCACTTAATTCTTTTTGTAGATCAATTGTTTCACTTAATTCTATTACTTCTGTAGAACAATAGTTTCACTCACCTCTACTATTTTTGTCAAACAGCAGTTTCACTTAATGTAATTATTTTTGTTGAACAATAGTTTCACTTAACTCTAATATTTTCTCAAACAACATTTTGAATTAATTCTACTTTACTGTATTATTTTTGAAGAACACTGTTTCACTGAAATCTTTATTTTTCTTGTCGGAATCCAGTTGCACTCAACTGTATTAGTTTTGTTGAACAACAGTAATTCAGTCATCATTTTCTTATAGAATTTGAAGTTCTCGCGGTTTATTTTATTCATTACTGTAGAATAATAGACTTTACTCAGTCACTTTCGTCTACTAAATAATTATGCTTATATATTCACTTAATTTGCATTATTTTGCATAAAAGAGTATATTCCCTTTACCATTTAGTAATAATAATTGCATTTCTTTTCATCATTTTTGTAAAATATACTGTTATAATTTCACTTACTCTCAGACTAGTGATTATTAAAGAATGATAATCTTACTTATTCAAGTGATTTAACACAATAAAACTTTCACTTAATTCAGTCATTCTTGTAAAATTATATTTTTACTTAACAGATTGTAATACTTCTTAAAGAAAACATTTAAATTATTGAACACCACTTTTTTATATTAAATTTAAAGTATATATTGCAATCCAGTAACAGAAGTATACAGTAATAAACCTAATGTTTTATCCGGTGCAGTAAGACATATGAATATCCAGGTCTCTTTGTCTATCATACATTTTATCACAGTTTTGACACATAAAATTGTCTTTTTTAACATAACTGTCGCTTTCATAATCAGCTGTGGGTATAGTTGGTTTTCCTGTAGCTGGCCGGGACCCTGAAAACAATATCAAATATTAGATTATCATGTTAAATTATTGTTGCAAAACATTTTTTATTTCTTTGATTTCTAGAGAAACTATTTTGACACTTAAACATTAACATTGTAAAATATATGTATATGCATATTTTGGAAACAAAAAAATATATAGTGAATCTTGTTTGACTTACTCTGTTCACGAGAGATAATGAAAAGGGTTAAATATCTCATGCCCTAGGGCGAGTGTGTTTAAAGCCACTCAATTTTTAATAAAATCCGGAGGAGCAGAACTAATATGCAAAATCTAAAATGTATTTGAGAACAAAACGAAACTACCCTACCAGTGCTATGAGGTAAATTTATCTTTCCCGCCTTTTTTAACTGCAGATATGCACTTATACTATTTGCGTTTACTGGTGCCATTAATTTTCCACTTGAAGGTCTACTCTTTGCTGAAACTGAACTGTCTTTCTTAGCACTACTTGGTCTTACTCCATGTCCTACAATAAATTCATCGCTTTTCTTTTTACCACTCAGTGGTCTATGACCAAAAGCAGGTCTGTCCTTTTGTGGGGAGGTTTTCTGTTTTGAAGCATTTTTATCAAATTCTATATTATGAACTGCAGAATGCATTCTACTTTTAGAACTGTCTTCTATTCCTGCAGAATAGTTATTTTGTTGATGATGAGCAGAAAGGTTAGACTGTGTCCCAAACATTCCAGGTTTGTTGTTGGCATTAGACTGGTTGTACGTATTTTCCATATATGAATATTCTGGTACATTGTCTTTTACATTATTTTCGTGATGTTGAACAGAACTCGGATCCCAAAGTGGCTGTGGTCTTCCTTTCTGAAAATGAGTATAATATCATAATAAACATTTGTATTAATGTAATTCATCAATGTGTCAGAACAGTTTAGTTATGCTAGACCTATATTGTTATTTGAGACAACTCCTAAAACCCGCTGAACTGAGAAAAAACACAACTGCTGACACAGAATGAATATAGGCTTGAAGTAGTAATTTCTGGTTAGCAATCAAACAAAGTTGCTCACTTTGTTATTTATATTCAACAAACACAAATCAATGTTTGCCAAATTATGTAAATGAAAGAAAATGGAACCTACATGAAAACTGTTGTTTCTACATTGATGTCAGTGCATTTGAGCTTACTGAAAACAAATAAATCAACTGTCTTTAAATCTAAGAACAAACCTGAACATTGACTGCCCATCTCTGGTCATCTTCCCTCTCATCATAGTAATTATGAGGTTGTTGCTGTTGGATGGATTCAAGTTTTCTTATGGAGTTCCGCAGTCCATCATTCTGTGTCTCGAGCAATTGTATTCTAACAATGTTGGCTTTAACCTGGTTTTCCATGTCCAACAAGATATCCCCTGTGCCTGCATAATGAAAAATTAAAACAAAAAAATATAGATCACACGTCTGAAGCATGATGGAATCGTATCTCATAATGACAGAAGCAAAGTCGGTTTCCTTTAGCCTGAAATTACTAAAAAGTAAGTTCAGTCAATACCAGTCCTATATTCATAACTTTAAGTGTAACCTATAACAACTGCGTCAAGGCATATATTCTTTGGTCCAGTGGTCTGGAGAGTTGTTACCTATTGTAACCGGGAGGTCCTGAGTTCGAATGCCAGCCAAGGCAGAATCTTTTCTTATGCAATCGCAGCTTAAAATGTTTGTAAGACAGAAAAGATGTTGTTCTAGTTCAAGCTACACAACCTTAACCCTCTGGCAATGTCGTTTAAAGAGTAGAATAATAAATCAAATTAACCAAGCAATCCTTTTACAGGAACATAATAATTCCATATTTCCCTCTTTAACTGTCCAACCCCAGCATTTTAAGATTTCACAATTTCTCACTTCAATTTGTATTATTCAAATTTGGATGTCAAACACACTTTCTATTTATTTTAATCTTCTTATTCCCTTGACATTTCAAGGCACTCAGAATTGTCTTACAAGCCATTTACACAACATCATTAAATATATTCACGAGACGAGCTTATCAATAATAAAAATGTCATCAATAATACAGAAACTATTTTTCTGTCATCATCAATTTTCATTTAATGATACATCTTTCTTTCAAACACAATATGCAAGTTTTCTGATATTTTTTCACCTTCAATTGCAATCTGCAAAAACTTTTTTTCGTTAGTTATATATTGGTTTGTTTTTTGTTGGGTTTTTTTCCTTTTTGGAAACCGACCCATTCCTTTTTGCTTTTCTTTATTCAAATTGCTATTGAATTTCAAAATTTAACTTCTTTACCGTAATTACCTTATTTCATGAGTAAACAAATATTAAATATTGGCATTCATAGAGCATTTATATAAAAGATATAACTGTAATAAGGAAAATGATAGTACAGGAAAAAAAATTATTTTCATCAGATATCCTGTAGAGACTGGTCAGGTTTAACAAATGTGCAGGCTGGCCTTACTTTAAAACATTTCGTATCTTTACAAGGCGTACGGGTTATGTAAACACTTCATTTGTGATGAACGTAGTTTGCGGAATCAGTACCTGTGGGTTCTAATAATGAAGGATTTTCGGTTTATAGAAATATGCAAGTTTTTTAACAGTTTTCACTTCCGTGAAATGCCATTTTCATCACATGCTACTCTCATTGCAAATTCTCATAATGAAAACTGCGGAGAATTTCTGTGGATTTTCCAGTTTTTATAATGAAAGCCACATTTTATACAAGCCAGAGAACGTGACAAGTGTGAAATAATTTGCCACCTAGCTCATTTCTGCCAGTTACAAAATAACAAATCAATAACAAATGTCAACCTTAAGCCATGTATAATCAATGAAGTGCTCAATCTTTTGGTGCTCAAAAAGACAATTTTTCTCTGTAATTGATCCAATGTGTAAATGTGTCTAAAAACATACTATGACTTGGCAAAACAAGAGTTATCTTAATGGCACATTATGTCTCAGAAACAAATAAAACATCCCTTCTCGTAAGGACATATATGAGTCTTGTAACATTTAGATAATGGTTTAAGAGCTTGTTAGAAAAATTTTACCTGAAGAAAGTAGTGCTGAATGTACCATTATTTGTTATAAACGTAGCAAAATGTAAAGTAATAAATAAATAAGCACCTTATTGAAACCAGAAAAGGAAGCATCCATCCAACCCCCAACCCAAAAAGAAGCTTATTCCTACATGCAGACATTCCTCAACATTCAAACTCTGACGATTAGTTATCTATTTACAAAAGCTATGATTCGCAAGACCTATTGTGGAAGCAGATATAATTTCAGCAAATTATGGCACATAAACAAAAACTAAATTCATCCAATTACTAAGCATTGTAAGTAAATCTGATATATAATTACTTATGAATAATTAATAGGGTATTGGCCATCAGTTATAGTAAAATATTCCAAACTCTCACAATGCCAGCATCAATTTTCATTTATTCATAAATTTATCATATCAGTTGTAACATATTATACAAACAACTAGATATATCTAGAGATGATATTGACAATAAATCCTGGTAAAATATTGCATAACAGAGTCCATGCAAACTTTCTATATTGTTAATAAATTGTATATATAAATCATATATTAGATAAATAAGAGCTCTACATACATGACATAAGACTTTTCATAAAATTGTTCATCTTAATTTGGCAAAAGTCTCAAAACCTATTAAGACTACAAAAACACCACTCCAAATTGTTATTATGTAAAGCGTTGTATATTTTATGCTTTATAAAAGTAAAAGCTTTTTTGGAAATGAAACTAAAGCAGACATTATTTATTGGCATGAGCATAGTAATTGTTTTAACTCTTTGAATGCAAGCCACACTGATTAAATTATGCTGTCAGACACTAGATCCTAATGTCTCAATGCAGGATTTTCAATTTCATCTGAGGCAACCGGTGTGCCAACGAAAACTACCGATTTGGCCAAGGGTCAAGGGGGATATCTTAATATAAAGGCTGTAAATACAAGTATAACCAATTTGAACAGCATTTCAACCAATGACATGGTTCAATCTGTTAATAATGAAAACCCTGCAATGATTTGGTATTTGTTATTAAGAACCCTTTAAATGTCAATGGATTGTTCCAAATTAAAAGGAGGACTGTTCCAAATTGAAAGGACTATTACATTTTACACTGGGTATAATAAACAAAAATTTAAAACTTTAAACCTTAGCATGAATATGGCAACTAAATCTTTGTGACACTTTAGAATGTTCTTTAAATCTGACATAATGACTTTAATTTAAGCAAAACATTCTTAAGATTTTCAATTCAAGTGATATTTCAGGAACTTGCAGATTTTTATTTTTCCTAGAATTTGCTCTAGAGACCTAATATTTAAATCCTAGTAGTTACTACCTTTTGAAGTTTGACTGTCATTTTGTCATGGGAAACATGCTAAGTTTCACAAGAAATTGTTACAATTTTTGACCTAATATATTCAGAGGTTTCAATATGCCTGTAAGAGTAAGCTAGATCATTTCTTAAAGAATGTGGATATATAATTAATAACCTGACAGAAAAGAAAGAAACATATTAATATGGAAAGTATATTGGTGCCTATAACATGTTACAGGGAAGTTTACTTTTAACTGTTTACCATGTAGTAATAAAATACCTGAATATTGGTTTATTATCTCAAAAAAATCATACACTGGACATTTGATAATTGCAAAAGCTCACCAATGAGCCGTTCACACACACATGTGTATATTTTTTTATAAAATATTTCATACCGGATAAATCTGGATTAACTGGTCCATTTATATCTGGATACTCTACAATCAATCTCTCTCTTTCCTTTGCCTCCTCTAGTTTATCATTGAGGGACTGTACAGTTGTTTCTAGGGTGGTTATAGTTTGTTCTAAACTCTCCTTATCTGCTAACACATGCTCCAAGTCAGCCTGAAATATAATGAGGAAAAAGAAAAATAATGAGGAAAAAGAAATTTGATAAGTAAAAAGAAAATATGAAGCTGCTTGTTATCTGTTAATATGCCCATGCAGTCAATGTTTTTCTTCTTCTTTTTTTTACCATTCTGGGAAATTCAAAAAAGAAAGAAAGAAAATTTGTGATAATATACAAATTATAAATTTTGAACTCATTGGGAACTTTTTGACAAAATTTCGGAAAATTCAAAACAAATCACCGTCTTCAGTCTGTCAAAAGAAAGAAAACAAACAGTTGCATAAAATAATTCACTAGAACAAATTGCCTTTTGTCTTGATTAATTGAAGCTTCTTAACTTTGGAGAAAAGAAATGCCTCATACAATATCAAAAGTAGGATCTTTTCCAGACATCACCATTCATCTAATCACATTAGTTGATTAATATTGACAGACTGAAACTCCTTTATGACAACAAGAAGTGACAAAGTGCATTTCAGACCTCCATTTTCATGTCAAGTCAGAAAATTAATTGGATTTACTTTTTTCAAATTTTAGCCAAGAAGTTTATTTTAAAGGCACATTAAGCCTCAGAAATCCATACCTTTTTAATTCTTTGGAAATGCCAAAAATGTTAATAATTATGTTTCAACAATGAATTTAGAGCATATTAGGTGTTTAACAACTGAAGGAAGTAGCCCTAAATGTGTAGTAGTATGTCCTAAAGGTTATAAATGTAAACAAAGTAGTATTTAAATTTCCATACAAAATAACAATTCACAAAATTATACCAATTGCCAACAAAACAAAATAAGCAAAATATAGTTTATCTATGAGGCAAATGAGTAACTTGTAAGAAATGGTAACATGAGACAAAAAATGTTTTTGAGAAATAAAAATGAAAGCATTTCTGGAGCATAGTGGCCCTATAAATAATATAAAAAAAAGTTAAATTTATAAGCAGAAATCAGCACCTTTTCTGCTCCTGTGTGATTCCAGAAAAAAAAATAAGAAATTTGTACACTTGGTAATACAATTAACATAAACAAAAAGTATACATTAGAGAAAGGTTAGGCATTTTTTTTAAACTGTTCTACTGTATACACATTATAATAACTTACAGCAGTGTTTATAATACTTAAAAAATACACAGATAAATTCACATCTAATATGGTATTTTTTGGAAGCAAAAACCAAGTTTACCTTGTTTTCTTTAAATTTTCTCTCTAGCTGTGTTGTCTCACTTTTATTCTCTTCCAAAGACTCTTCAAACTTCTCTTTTTCTTCCTCCATTTCAGAGAGTTGATCTTTCAGATCTCTATTCTCCTCATCAAGAACTTCTATTCTGATAAGTAGTTGTTCTTGCTTCGTTTGTAAACTCTGAAATTAAAATGTAAAACTAGTATGCCATTATTTTTTCAATGACTTGTACTGTTGGGGTTATAATCTTCCAGAGTACAACTTATAGATTCCCTCTTTGTCTTGTAGACTACTTATGTACATTGTAGTATATAAGAATCTTACACCGGCTGCCGGTACAGACCGGATATCTAGCTCGAGGGTAACTGTTTACAGCGGTAATGAGGCTCTGCCGAGTTCCCGCTAAACAGTTACCCGAGAGCTAGATATTCCCGTCTGTACCAATAGCCGGTGTTTGATTCTTTTTCTTGCATATTACATGTCAATTATTTTCGGAACTGAAATAACGAAAACCGATATTCTCATTACGCACTTATTTCTTATAGTAGCGTATGAACATACAACTTCATTCATAACGGAAAAAAGTAAGTCATACTAAGAACGCAATTCATTCATAAAAGGCGCGCGTCAATGACATCATTTAAAGCAAGCGACTTGTCTTACATGGAGGGTGTAAGACAGGGTTTTCTAGCACCGGTGTAAACGGTAGATAATCCTGTCTGAGATGCAAGAATACTTGATATACCCCCGACATTCACTAAAAGACAACAATGCCCAAGTAACAATGGTAGGAAAGAGGGAGGTGATAAAAAATGCAGTGATAGAGAACCCTAATTAATTTTTTTTTTCAAGTATAGTGTTTTACGCCATCAATTTTTGGTGGTATAGTTTTTGGGGCTGTTCAGTATTTTCGGACAACAAAGTGGTATGAAAAAGTTCTGTAATACTGCCAACTCAGGTTCAGTTCTTTGTAATCAAAACCTATTAAAATCTAACTAGAATAATGAACAGGTCCATATTCTCAAAAACACAAATTCAGAGATAGGATAGGAATAAAACACTACCATATAAGCTGACAATAGCAAGATCAACTCTCCTTCTCCAGTTTTTGTCAAAATTGCAGATATTGAAAAGTTAACAGGGTGTCTGTTTGGCCCTTAAAATGACTATCTGACCCTTCAAATTTCCAAAAGGCCCGATTTGATCCTCAGGATTTTAACTGGAGGGTCAAATTTTGTTAAAATCATGGGGATTTGGCCTTGTAGTCGATAAAACTTAGTCAACATGACCCTCAGGATTTCATGGCTAGTGAACACCCTGATTTTGCATTACTCATAGTCTATACAAACCTGAGTATGTTTTGATACACTTTTATTTTTGGCTTGCTCTCTCTGTAGATCTTTTGTTGACATGTCCATCTTTGTGGCTACATCATTCAGTTTGCCTTGCAAGTTTGTCATCTCACCACGCAGTCTAGCTACCTCTGATGTATTCACTTTGTTACCAGATAACTCCTCCTCTAGTTTCAGCTTTGTGTTCTCTTTAAGTACAGAGGATACAAATGATTATGAGTGTTGCCTTAGCGAAAGTATTTGTTGAAGGATTTGAGTAAAATAAACAGTCATCAGCATCTTAATTTGCACAAATGATACTAAGAAACAAGAACTGTCGGAGGACAGTATTGGCTCGACTATTCAAAAATTGTCACAAGGGTGTTTTATTGAGTATAATAATGCTAATTACCTATGAATACATAAAATTGACCGAAAAGGTACAAAGGCTTGTTATTAAGATGTTTTATCAAGTAAATCACTGCTTTATTATTATGAATGCATAAAAATGTCCCAAAAAAAGGCAAAAACTCTTCAGTAGTTATGGAGATAATAGCTTACAAGCAAAACTTTACCATGAATTTCTAAGTTGAAAAAGGGGAGAAAAATCAGCCTAAATGCAAGATAGAATTATGGATCTTGGTCAGTGACCTACAATTATGATTCTAAATGCATATGTGAAGTTTTAAATAAATATCTTTAATAGTTATTGAGATGTGTAAAACTTTCATGTAAACAAGAGACTAAGTAGAAAAGGGGAGATGAATCAGCCTAAATGCGAGTAGAGTTATGGAACTTGGTCAGTGACATACAATTATGATTGACTCTCCAATTATGACCCTAAGTACATGTGTAAAGTTTCAAGTAAATATCTTTGAAGACCTTTAACCAAAATGTCAAAGGGGAAAATAGTTCTGCAAATATTGCAGGCAGAGTTATGCAATTTTGCAAACTGATGTACATTGTTACTATAAAAAAGTATTGTAAATTTCAATTGAATATCTAAAGCAATAATTGAGATATTTGACTTTACAAAAAAACTTTAACCAAAATTTCTAAGTTATAAAAGGGCATAATTCTGTAAATATTATAGGCAGAGTTATCCAACTTGTCAATCTGATGTACATTGTTACTATAAATAAGTTACTGTAAGTTTCAATTGAATATCTCAAGCAATAATTGAGATATTTGACTTTACAAAAAACTTTAACCAAAATTTCTAAGTTAAAAAGGGGCATAATTCTATCAATATTGTAGGCAGAGTTATCCAACTTGTCAATCTGATGTACATTGTAACTATAAATAAGTATTGTAAGTTTCAATTGAATATCTCAAGCAATAATTGAGATATTTGACTTTACAAAAAACTTTAACCAAAATTTCTAAGTTAAAAAGGGGCATAATTCTGTCAATATTGTAGGCAGAGTTATCCAACTTGTCAATCCGATGTACATTGATACTATAAATAAGTATTGTAAGTTTCAATCGAATATCTCAAGCAATAATTGAGATATTTGAATTTACAAAAAACTTTAACCAACGCAGACGCGGACGCTGACGCCGACACCGACGCCGGGCCACTACAATAGCTCTCATATTCTTCGAATAGTCGAGCTAAAAAGGAAATGAAAGCATTTGCTGCTACTATATCGAAGTGTGAAATAGGAAAAAATGTAGGGTAAAACAAAGGGCCATAACTGTTCAAAAATACTGAAAAAAAGAAGATATATAATGCATTCCTTGCTTCAATGTTAAAGTATGATATAAATTTTAGGGTAAAACAAAGGGCCATAATTGTTTAAAAATCATATTACATTGCACTCAGCAGAAAAATTACAGAAATAAGCAACATAAATACAACTTGTCAAAAGTTTCTTGACCAACTGCTCTGATGGAAAAAAAATCCAGCATGAATATCTAATATTATCTCAGGGTATTGGTGGCCTAGTGGCTAAAGGTCTGCCTCTCAACCCAGGAACTGTAGGTTCAATTCCTAATTTTCTCACAACTATGTTTCCTTATATGACACCAGATCTTGAGGTTATAAAGAAATTTTCTAAGCTCAAACTCAGATCTCAGGTATTCAATTGGTCAGAAACTAACACCGAAAAACTGAAAACCTGAGATTTGAGGAAGAGATCAGAAAAAAGTTTTATAACCTCCACACCTGGTAAGCTCTAGAAAGCAGACTTGGAAGTGATTAAAATAAGCTTCAATATTTAATCTTATCTATCTGAGCAAATATGTATTAGTAAAATACAAGCTAAGACTGAAGTGGCAATTTACATACCCATATCTTTTAACAGTTCATGTTTCTCTTCTAATTCATTTTTCCGTTTCTCTAGCAGAGACTCCAACTCATGTTTATTCTTTTCCAACAGATCTTTCTGTTGTTGTTCTAATTCCAATGTTTGTCTGTGCTGGGACTCTAACTCTTTTATCTTTGTTTCATATTGTTTATTCAAAGCTGTCCGATCATCTTTTTCACGTTTTAAATCACGATCGAAGTTCTGAACACGTTTCTCTAATTTTTCACTTTTTTCCTGACATTGTGAGAGTTCATCTTTAAGAGGTTTGATTGTAGCTGTCAACTTACTGATTCGCTGAAGGTCTTTGTGCTGTTCTGCGGCCCAGCGCGTAACTTCGTTACCAGACAACCAGTCTAGGTGCGATACCTGTGGACGGAATTTCTGCAAACACGACGGTATCTGCTGCTGCTGGCAAATTGCTACAACAATATCGCCACACTGGCGGAAACTTTTCTGCACCATTGAACAAGAATCACAAGGAGTAAATGCCGACTCACTTGTCTGACAGGATTTGTTATATTCGTCTCTTGAAATAAGGCCAAATTCTTTCAGCTGTGCTGGGTTCAAACTAAGTCCTGTAAAATATTGTAATAGTTTGTAAGAGGAATTTCTTTAAGTCTGCGACCATATAAATATTTGTAAATCTAATTAGCAGAAGGATGACATTATTGAAAAGTTTATTTCATATATATAAATTAGGGTTTCATAATCGGACAAAACTCATAATCGATCATCAAAAATAATCGAACCACCCTTTTCGATCAATCATCCATTATATAATCGAAACATTTACAATAACAAAGTAAATATGTACAATGTTCATATCATGCTTTAATATTTATAAGAATTCCATTTCCATGTAACCACCACTTTATCAACTGAAATAAATTAGTTTAAAGATATACTGTGCTCATACTTGAGTAAAATAGTTTAATCAAATAAATTCATTAAAATCTAGGAAGTTATTATGTCTCACTTCCAAAAAGCAATGAATAAACTTTGTATGGGAACAAGTTACGTTGGTCCTTTCTTAATGAAACTGCCAGTTTTTTTTTTAATGACACTATATATTGATATTGCAACCACCTTTAGTGTGTAGAATAATTTTATACATAACATATCTTCTTTGTGTGAAGTCAAAACATATTTATTTTATATTTACAAATAGACTGTGTAGCAATTTTAAATATTCTCTAATGTCAAATTTGAGCATAGTATACCTTTAAACTAGCATGCCTTACTGTCAACTATTAACTCCATGGTCACCAGTATACTTTCATATTCAATTGAATGAAATTTATTGTTTCAACCAAAACTGGCTTTAATTTAGTGTTGTTATAATACAGTGAGTTATTTAAGTAACAGCAAGAAAATAAATTACCGATAATCGATTATTAAACTTTGTAATCGATCATCGCTGATCGGTTCTATAAACGATCAATTTTCGATTATACTCGATCATCGTTTAATCCCTAATATAAATGTTAGAAAAGCTAAATTTACGGCTTTAGCATTTATACAAAAATCACTGTTTAATTTAGTTGTATCAGAGACTCATCTATTGAAATGTGTCAAAGTTTAATCATACATGCACATTGTGTTAACTGGAGTGCAGGTATTAGTTTCCCGCACTCCAGTTACTGCACTGTCTGTCGGGGATAAAAATAGTGCATGCTTGTTGTTTGGCTCATTTTTTTCTGGGGTTTTCTCATTGTGACAACAGGAAAAGGGATAATAATAGAAAAGTTATATTCTGATGCTCGTACATATACATAATGACTGGTGCTCATTTTGTAACATTGCTTGCCATCAGTCAAAGGGAGATAAAACCACAAGCATATGTCATTTATTCTGTACAAGTTAATTCCCTTGATTTGAAGATAAATGTATAAATATTAAGGCATTAATATTTTTTGACCACTGAAAGGAAGAAAATGAACTTTTTTGGCTTAAATATTGTTTTTAATAGATTAAATTTACTAAATAGTAATGACTCCTTAGAGACTATGGCAACCCTTTTTGAACAATAATAGAATATAGTTGAGAAAGTCAGGAATTCTAAAAAAACAAATTAGTTTCAAAAGAGTATTGGTCAATACTGGTCATGGACTATCAACCGGACACTTTTTTATTGTTTTTCCATACAGAATTCACAATTTTAAAGGTAGATACTTGGAAGTTTAACACAGTAAAGCTAGTATATTCTTCAAATGTTTTTTTTTTCAATATTGTATACACTAAGTCTTGTATTTCAGGCCTCTGCTGATTATAACTAGTATTCCACTCTAGACATGGGAGTCACAGTTTTTTTAATAGATATAAAACAATTAGCATAATCAATTTAACTTATTGGTCTTAGAGGATACATGCATTAATTGTTGATATCAGAGTGACTGACTGATCGACAATAATTGAACAAAGAAAATAACTAAATCAAGTGATATTTGGGCCATTCCGGTTTGATGGTCATCCATTTTTGGTGGTCTCCAACCAGTACAGGTTACAAAGTATTTTTACCCTTAACATTGTCAAATATCATGTGTTGGTCAATCACCATTATATCAACCAGTTTTTTTAAATATATAGTCAATTAGAGTCAATTTGACAATGAAAAAAATGAGCATTATGTCACTTTAAGTCAATTATAATCCTAACCTAGGTTTCAAATTTTCAATTCTTACTACTCACCTAATTTTTTATGTAAAATATTCTGCATGCAAAAAAGAAACCCCACTTAATTTCTACATACCAGCAACCATTTCAGCCCTGTTTGGAGGTATAAGACCACCAAATCCTGCTGTTTTAGGTCTCTGAGTACTATAAGACTGTTTGAGCTCTAAATCTAGACGCTTTACATCTCCTTCTAGCTCTGACACCTTACGAGACATGGCATTTTTCTGTTGACAGAAAATAAAAATGAAACAATTTCTGTGACATTCAGATTTCAAAACAAGGTTTTACTAAAATTTCCTGAATATGCAACTTGTTTTCAAGGTTGTGCTATTTGTTCTTTATAGAGCCAAGTTTTGTAATTAATATTCCACTAAATACAGTCCTATATTTTTATTAATGACAGACAACCTTTTGCAATTTAAATTCTTGACTGAATACAGTTATGTAAAAAAATTTTGATCAAGCAAAGATTTGTAATTATTTCCTTACTAATTAATATTATGTTATTTAAAGGACCTCCACTGAGGTCCAAAAAAGACTATACAAATAGAAATTGGAAATTCTTACTTAAATCAACTTGGGCACATTAATCAGCAAATGAAAGACATAAAAAAATTACTCAGAATTAAATTGAAACCAACATTTAGTGAAATTCTTAGCCAGATTTGAGTTAAAAGCATTTTACTTTTCATTTTTTAGGTCATTTTGCACAATAAAAATTATTTTGGAAAAACAGAGTGACCAAATGACCTGAATTTTGCACACAATTTATTTGTATAAACCCTCATGAAATGGCAAAGAAACCTCGAAAAAATATTTCCAGTCATGTCATATTAAAAAACCTCAGTACAGTAAAGGACAATATGGTGTTTACCTCTTGAACAGTATGTTTGACCACCATTTGAAGCTGTGTCAATCTAGACCAGTATTTCTTTGCTATCACACCAACAGATGTCCCATGGATGTGACCCCATTCAGTGTCTGCTTTAGCATTTTTCAAAACTCCCTCTGTAAAACTTGACATTGAATGAAGCAAGAAGACAAGTCTGAAACAAAAAGAAATTCAATACAATATGTCTTTATGTCTGGTTCTTACATAACATAACAAATATTGTAAATCATTTAGTACATTGGTTGTATATACTTTAATGACAAAAGTGTCTGTTCTTTTTATTTCTTAAATTTTGTAAATCATTATGTACTACATTTTTTATATAAATGTACATGTACTTTAATGACAGAAGATTCTTTTAAAGTGATTTATACCAACTTTGGTCAAATCTCTTATCTTTTTTTCCAGTTTAAATGTTAAACTTACTCGAATACAATGAATCATTAGCACCTTTAACTTATAGAGAGAAGTTGCTATGGATTTTTTTCTGGCATTGTTTTTAGTTGTTCTATCTTATTTGTAAAAAAAATCATTGTTATAAAGTTCAACTTAATAATATTAAGCAACTTTCTAATGGCATATAATTTATAAAGCAAAGCTAATTTATTGTTACATACTGTCTGTCTATAGACCAGGTCAGCAAAAATAACCTGGTTGTAGGATATGCCGGAATGTACCTGGGCGGACCACATGTTTGGACAGGGCGGACTGTGACTCGTGACAAGGTGGACCAAGCATATTTTCCAAAACATACCGTCTGTCCTGGTACGGTCCGCCCTGTCTCAAGTTCCGCCCTGTCGTAATTCAAAAACCTTACCTGTCAATGACCAGTTCATACAGGGCAATATGAGCCACTTGTCTTTCTTCCTCATCATCAGAATAGCTGTACAAGTCCAATAAATCTTCTATATCCAGATCACAAGCTGCTTTATCAGGAAATTTCCATGACGTACATTGAACAGGTCCAGTTCTTGACAGAATATCAGACACACATGACTGAACATCTCTGACATCACTCGAGAGACTCTCCATTACTGCTGCGGCTCCTAAAAGATACGCCATCTCTAAATCTTCCTATATGTGCAATTGCTGAAAACATAAATAGTACTGTAGACCATAGGCATTTTCCTTGTAGTCAGTTGCAGCATGGCCAAGTTGTTAATGCATGAGACTAGTAATCTAGGGACTGCTAGCTGTGTAGGTTTTAAACTCCATCATAGGCAAGCCGTTTTTTCTTGAGCAAGAAGCTTTTGAGTCATCTGTTTGGTACCAGGTGTGTTTATAAGCTTAAACCTTCCTACACAATATAGCTGAAATAAATTCTGTATAAATGAAGCATTTCTAAGAAGTTTGTAGTATTCATAAAGAAATGCATACCATTCAAATATACGTGTTACTCAATTTAGCTGACAAACATACTAAACTATTGTTTTGCTTTCTTAGTTTCTATCCCGTACGAAGATGACATCAAACATGATGCTTTTAGACAAGTTAACATTTTATGTACACGCAAGCAGCATTCGTTAAAGACAATTAAATTGTGTAACTAGTTAAGATAACCTTCATTGTAAACAATAAAAGTAGTTGGTAAAATGTGACTGGTGAAAAAAAGCCACTGGAGATAACTGATTTTAAGTTAAATATTTGAAGCAGGCAATTAAACACAGATTTTTTTACAAGAAAGGGTCATCTGTTTTCCGGGAGGGTAATGGGTGAAATTTTTGAGTGATTTTCATCGATGGAGACAATATCGATGTATCATTGATATTTTTCTGTCAATCAATAATGATACACATTTGTAAAAATTGATAATTTTGGTTAACTATTCTAATGTCTATGAATTATGTAAATTCGACCAAAACATAAACAAAAGCAGGTGGCCATGTCTAACACCAAGCTGTTGTTACATAATGGACACATTTCATAAATTCATAGCAGTGATGACAAACAAGAGGGCCATGATGGCCCTGAGGTCGCTCACCTGTATATAGGCCCCCTCAACGTTGCAGGGCCAATTTAACCCAAGGGCTTTTATTTGCACAAACTTGGTAGACACCCATAAGAAGATGTTTCATGCTAAACATCTAAGCTCTAGATCATTGGGCTTTTTAAAAGAAGATTTTTATAGACATATAGTTAAAAACAATGACACCCCTGGGGCGGGGCCAATTTTGACCCCAGGGCTTTTATTTGAACAAACTCTGTAGACACTCACTCAAAGATGTTTCATGCTTAATATCTTAACTCTAGCTATTTGGGATTTTTCAAAGAAGATTTTTTAAGTTTTTGCCATACACATATAAGGAAAATCAATGACCCCCGGGGCGGTGCCAATTTTGACCCCAGGGCTTTTATTTGAACAAACTTGGTAGACACCTATTAGAACATGTTTGATGCTAAATATCTTAGCCATAGCTCTTTGAGTTCTTTAAAAGAAGATTTTTTAAGTTTTTACTATATGCATATAGGGAAAATCAATGACCCCCTGGGGCGGGGCCAATTTTGACCCCAGGGCTTTTATTTGAACAAACTTGGTAGACACCTATTAGAACATGTTTGATGCTCAATATCTTAGCCATAGCTCTTTGAGTTCTTTAAAAGAAGATTTTTAAAGTTTTTACTATATATGCATATAGGGAAAATCAATGACCCCCCGGGGTGGGGCCAATTTTGACCCCAGGGCTTTTATTTGAACAAACTTGGTAGACACCCATTAGAACATGTTTCATGCTAAATATCTGAGCTCTAGCTCTTTGGGTTCTTTAAAAGAAGATTTTTTAAGTTTTTACTATATGCATATAGGGAAAATCAATGACCCCCCGGGGCGGGGCCAATTTTGACCCCAGGGCTTTTATTTGAACAAACTTGGTAGACACTTACTAGAAGATGTTTCATGCCAAATATCTAAGCTCTAGCTCTTATGGTTTTTTAAAAGAAGATATTTAAAGTTTTTTCTTTCGGTTGCCATGGCAACCAGAGTTCTGCATGGAATTAAATTCTTTGAACAATTTTTAAAGGTGACCACCAAAGGAACATTCCTGTGAAGTTTGGATGAAATTGGCTTAGTGGTTTATGAGGAGATGTCATTTAAAGTAAAAGTTTACGGACGGACGACGGACGGACGACGGACGGACGCCGGACAAAAAGCGATCACAAAAGCTCACCCTGTCACTTTGTGACAGGTGAGCTAAAAATGGTTAGGAAAAAGTCCTACAAAGGACATTTGTAAACAGGACACAACATATTTGTATGAACAGAACATATATTTTACTAGGAATGAAAGTTAATTATATACAAGAAATATTAAAGAAGTATATATTGATATATCGGTGTATCGTGATATTTGTCATCCGATATCGATGTATCGTCAATATGCTTTGCTATGAATCAATGACAGCTCTGCTAAAAAAGCACCATTAAGTTGATATCCAAAAACTCAGAGGGGTCTGTACCCTCAGTGCCTGTCTCATAATTCAGTCAAAATCTGTGTCATTTTAATGGGCCTTACAGACCTCTGGTAATGATCCTGAAATGATGAATTGATGTATTGAGTTACAAGTAAATACCTTCAGTATTGCCTGCTAGTCATAATCAGAATTGATTCTTAAGCAGTATCATAAATGTAGATGTTCATGTAGATGTATTTTATAAAGATTGATGTGGGCTCGATTTCACTCAGATTCCATGCTAGTAGATATATGAGCCTTGAATAGTGATCTCAAATTATGATGAAGGCTTGTTCACATATACACATATACTTTTAATACGGGGAAGTCAAAGACCGGACCCGCGAAGCGGGTCCGGGCTTTGGCTTGCCCGGCTATAGACTACACGTGTATATTTAAAAGAAAATCAAATAAAAAACAATAAAAAAATATATGGAATTCTATACCTATCAATGAAATTTTCAGTGTCAGTTCTAGTCGGGCGGCGCCATTTTCAATGTAGTTCAATGATAATAGGCGAGATATTCCGATAGCGGACAATCGCAACTTTTCGGATAAATAATATCGTCGAGTATTCCGAGTGAAAACGGAAGCGGAGCATATAATACCGAATGACACCTTTAAAACGGAAAAATTAACTGACTTCCCCATTCATAGGCTTTTCCTAATTTCATATTAGTTTTCTAAGTTCAAAAAGGGAAATAATTCTGTCAAAATTAATGCTAGAATTATAGACCTTGGAAAGTGATCTATATTATGCTCTCAAATAAGTGGATAAAGACAAAGACATTTGGAGTGTAAACCCCTGCCTTCTCCGCCCCTAAAAACTAAAACCATTATTTTGTACAAGAACTACCAGTAGTCGACAGTGTTTAGTGTCTAAAACATGAACAAGTTTTGACGGAATTTCAATGTAATTCAATAAATTGTAACCGAAATATGATGCTGATCAGCTTATCGTGTCTGTTGTAACATTTGACTACTTTGAACTTCAATATAAATCAATATTTTGTAACAATAGAAATGATAGGTACCTAAAATATCAAAGTTACTTCTCATCAATTAAGATGAGTAAAATATGTCAGCCATATTGTTTACTGATGTTGCTATCTGCTCCGTAGCATTGTATTGGACAATCAGAAATTGTATAGCCAATCAAATACCACGTTACAAATTTTCTACCGAACCGGTGTCGATGTAATAAAGAATATCCGGTAAAATTGTAAACACTCACGAAAAATTTACAAAAAAGAAAATAAAGATCCCGTTAAAGTTATGGATGAAAATCAGCGAGATGGTTAGAACATTTTAAACAAATTAAAATCAGTACAAGAAAAATAATTTTATAATAATGAAATGTGTTTTAGTTTCATACTTAATCATCTGAATTCTGATGCAATATGCATGATATGTCAATTAGTGAATTACATTCCTACTTAAATTCTTTTAATGTATCACAAAGATGTCATTATATGATCACACAAGAAATACAGAAATAAATATTTTGTTCAGTATAGAGTTCCGACTGGAACATCAGCCAAAGTAATGTCTAAATGATCCACACAAAATTATCTAAACTGCTAAATGGGCAAAACATTGAAAAGTGATTAGAAATACACCCATTGACAGTCCCTATATGAAGTATGTAAATAACCGAAGTATATCGAGTGAAAAAATACGAGTTGTTTCCCTTGTCTTCGAGTAAAATTTATATCTCTAATGCTAAAACAATGCAGATTTAGCCATTTTTAAACCAATCGTATTGGGCAATTTAATGTACAATTTTAACATTTATTACACCAATGAAAAGCTTGTGATCTACGCTTCGTCTCAGTATATATACTATATTTTTCGACAAATTGTTTGACACTAAAAGTATTTCAATTGACGGTTAAAGCTACCTGAAGTCAGACCATTTTACATATGTTTTATACAGTGAGATACGCAACCAGTTATCTTTACTTGCAATTCTACTGATAAGAATAGTCTATCGTCTGCCAATTCGGAAACTGTTGGTGTATTGAAAAGGCCTTAGCAAAACTGCTGCTTAGTTGAAATAATAGGAAGAGCATCAAATTTGTAATCTAGGCGTCCTTGGTTTGGTTTTTGTATGAGGGGTAATTTCGAAATCGTCCGGACACTTTCAATCTTTTGTGCCTTCTTAGCAGTCCTTGGCAGTGTTAAGAAGGACCACTTTAAATCTGTAACATTGAATCTAATGGCCATTTACCTTTTATGGCAGATTCAAAAATGATTTCAGATTAGTTGTCATTAACTTTTGAATAAATTGGTAATTAATGTTTAATTATCTAGGTGGGCCAACCACCAAGATATGACCAAACTGTGTCAAATTGGATAAAAATTTACATAAAAACAAAAAGGCCTAAAGAATTTGAAACATTTTAAGTAGTTGGCCCCTGACAATCTAAAACCAATTAGACTTGTCAAAGAGACATGAAGATAATATTTGGATGGGCAACGAATCAAACTATTCATTCCGAATTAAGTAGGTTACCTACCTGCTACAGTAACACAGAATACAACATGTATGGCAGGAAGTAATGAGGTAAAGCAAGTAAAAATGCCAAGTAAAATGTATTTCTTTTAAAGCTGCACCACAACTTTAGTTTGTGTACATTATGCAAACTAGCAGACAACAGACTATTTTTATCAGTAGAATTGCGAGTAAAGATAACCGATTGCGTATATCACTGTATAAAACATATGTAAAATAATCTGACTTGTGGTAGGTTTAACCGTAGATTTAAATACATTCAGTGTCAAACAATGTGTTGAAATATATACTGAAAAAAGCTTAGATCACAAGCTTTTCATTGGTGCAATAAATTTTAAAATCGGACATTAAATCGCCTCAAACTAGCGGTTTAAAAACTGCTAAATTTGCATTGTTTTATCATTAGAGATATAGATTTTACTCGAAGATAAGGGAAACAACTCGTGTTTTTTCACTCTACATACCTCGGTTATTTACGTAGTTCATAAAGAGACTGTAAATGGATGTATTGTGAACTAAGAAATTTAATAACTAAACTACAGTAGACTGCAAGAGAAAAAGATTTGTCACACAACACTTATTCTTATATTGTTAAGTATGGTGGAATTTTTTTTGTAATACATAAACTTTTTTTACAGGTGTCCTGCAGTATTTCAGTGGGGTTGTTGAGGAACATCCAGATATATCTGCAGCTGTAGCAGCTATTAAAACACTTCTTCACTTCATAGAAAACAACAGGAGTATGTATGAGTTGACTGATGATTTTCTAAGTGATAAGTTTTATTCCATTTCAAATTTCACTTATGTATTTCTGTAAATTTAAATGCCAATTTAAGTGTAGCATTCAATTGAAAATATATTGTTTTATGTTAAAGGAGTACTTAAAAGTGTGAAGTTGAGTTACAAAATGTTTTTTTTTTAAATTTTGATAGAAGAAGCACAGTATTGACAAAATTTGTGACAATCAGGTCTTTTACAGAATGACATAACTATGGTAGCATTAGCAATATTAAGCATACTTACATGTAGTAATTGTGTTACTTATTATTATAGTGGAAACCCTGGCTGGTCTTAGAGCTACATTAAAGGATGCCACACATACTCTCACACAGACAGATAGTAGTGTTACCTCTATATCATCTGGATGTGAACTCTTCCTCAGATTTATCACATTAACAAGTCTCGAAGATACAGTAAGTTTCATAGTCTATAATTATTCTTTCAACCATCCACATGACCACTGATGTCAATAATAAAATATGGCAGCGTGGCTAAGTGAGTTGTCAGACTAGTAATCTAAGGATTGCTGGCCACCTGGGTTCAAAACTTACTAGGGGAGCAAGAGACTTTGCACTTTGCACTCAAATTTACTATCTATCGGTCTATATCGGTATAATCACCTTTATCCATGTACGTATTAATTCTTTTGATAGATCTATAATTTTAATTTTCAACATAACTAGGGCCGTGTATTGTCAGAGTAGAGGCGATATGATGTGATTCACGATACAAAGGAGCAATACACAAATCGGTTTGCGATACATCACTGAATGATGAAATAGTTTCAATGTTTTATGTCAAACTATAATCTTACTAAGACTTTATAATCCAGCCGTTCAAATAGAAAGCAGAACATATTTACAAGGGATACTTTGATATTTAACTTGTTTACAAGTGAATATTTAAGTAGTACTCTTTTAAATATTTGTACAAATTGAATATAAGCATTTAGATTGCACTTATTGCTCAGTTCTGTTTGGTTCCAGAAATGTTTTTAATTAGGATAAGAGACAGCCATGAGACTAAAGTGTCCATGTCTGAATTTAACTAGGAGGCATGACTAATATTTTACTAGTTACCTGCACCATGTTTTTCTTATTACACACGAGTACTAAAAATGGCCTTAAAATTGTTTCAAAGAACTTTTGTGACTGTTGAGCAAAAATATATCATTTATTTTAACCTTTAGTTTGTATCTTAACTTTCAGCTTCACATTTAGAAGAAGTCACCTTATGACTATGACTACATATTTAGCAAAAAAGGCACCAATTGACTACATATTTAGCAAAAAAAGGCACCATTTGACTACATATTTAGCAAAAAGGCACCATTTGACTACATATTTAGCAAAAAAGGCACCATTTGACTACATATTTAGCAAAAAAGGCACCATTTGACTACATATTTTGCGAAAAGGCACCCTTTGAATACATATTTAGCAAAAATGGAACCATTTGACTACATTTTTAGCAGGAGATGCAAACATAGTTTGTTTTCACTCCAGATTAAAACGAATATCATATTTTAATTTATTTTTAAATATGTACAATTTTATATGAACTTACTTAGTCAACTTATTATGAATCATATCATAATCTGTTTGCAGGATTTTCAGAAGTGTCAGAATATTATGGTGGAGCGTGGTAACATGTTTTTACAAAAGGTTGCCTCATCAAGACAGAAGATAGCTAGACAAGCAGATAAATTTATCAGAGATGGATCTGTAAGCTTTATTCTTGATCACATTTTGTCAACCAGCTGTAAATTTTTTATGCCTTGGCATAATAATAGGAAATAATATGTTTGCCTGCTTAACCAGGGGGTAATATTGTATTTTGCCTGTCTGACTTTTTCTTTGAACCATTATCATGCTGAAATCATGTTACATTACATGTATTTAGCTTTGCCTTTAAGACTTATGTGTCCAGTATTAGTTTAACTTTAAACCATTGTCATGCTGAAGTTATGTAAGCCTTGTTTTGTGTACAGTATACAGTTTAAGGGGATTTTCAGTGCCAGTTTTACAAAACTGAGCAGACAATAAAGTACATGTATTTAGACTGATCACACTGAATAGAAAAGCAGGGTTACCTTGCTTAATACTGCTGACATCATTTCTTGCAAAAAAACATTTAATGTGGATAATTGAACATACAAACATATCAATGAACTACATGTACAGTTTTTCAACATTTGCCACTATTTTATTCAAGAGAGTAAGAAAATAAAGTTATTCACTATTTAGTCCAAGGTTGGCAAAATCCCATCCTGACTTTCTCCAGTTTTATTTGAAGTATTCTTTATTTTGTGTATGGTATATATAAAGTACATCCTGGAAATACAAGCAATGGGACTCACAACCTGAGCAATATGGACAATTGATTTATCCCCCATGATTCACTGAGATACTTTAAGTTAAAAATCATTAAGTGTTGCTTGTAGATATTTATTAGCATAAATTTAAAATTAACTCTTTGTTTTCAAAATGAGAATATTTCCTAGAGAATAGGAATCTTTTACAAAAAACTATTTTAAAGTATTATCTTTGGTGATAATTCTTCTATTTCTTTTTGCCAGTGCACAAAATACCATTTACCTAACTGTTTATGTCTGTATTTATGTTTTCAGAAAATTCTTATTCACTCACATTCAAGAGTTATTCAACATGTGTTAAAAGAGGCAGTCCAATCAAAGAAGCGATTTGAGGTGTATGTAACAGAATCAAGACCAAATGATGCAGGGTAAAGTTGTTGTTTTGATGCCCCTACTTCAAATCATTATGGTGTCGATATTGTTTCTGTAATCTGCATGGTTAGTCTCTTTATCTTGGTGCAGATAACCTTAACCTTGGTTTACCTTCATACCTGATTCAGTTATTGTCTTGACAATAGTTTTGTTTTATATTATTGAAATCATGACCTTGACTCAAATGTCCTTGACCTTGAAAATCAAAATTTTATAAATTTTATATGATTTCACCAAGACTTATTTCAAACTAATACAAATTATCCTTTACTGTTATACCTTCAAACCTGGTGCAGTTATCATCTGGACAAGAGTTTGTTTTTGAAAATTGACTTTGACTCTTAAATGGCCTAGACCTTCAAGGTCAAAATTTCAAATTTTATTTGATATTTTCCAAACTGTGTTGTACAATTGCAATTGTTTTTGTAAATAACTTATAGTTTTTTTTCTTGAAAGTAAAATTAAAAAATAAGGTTATTGTTTTGTTTTTTTTGTGAAATATTTTTGCTTGAGATGATAAAATTCAGTATATTTCACTCAACATTCCAGCTCACGAAAATATATGGAATTCTTTCGTGTTTAGTGAAAATATATTCCATATTTCACTCAAACTAAAGAATATCCTCTTAGTATAATAAAGTACAAAACAGAAGAATACTTGAAGATCAGAATAATAATATTTGTTTGATCTTAATCACAAAAAGAACAAAACATAACAGTTTATACCATGTTTCTTTATTGTTGTACAGGTTGAAGACAATGGAAGAATTGCGAGCATGTGGAATACCTACAACTTTAATTCTTGATTCAGCTGTTGGGTAAAGTTTAAATATAACTTTCATCTTTGTTAACTATTAATATAGTGTAGTGGAAACTTATACAAGCATACATAATTTAAAGGGACTCCACTGCGTTTTTATGCCACCGCAGCATCTGCGATGCGGTGGCATATAGCGATTCACCTGTGTGTGTGTGTGTGTGTTTGTTTGTGTGTGTGTGTGTTATAAAGATTATATAGTGAACTTAAAAAATCTTCTTGTGAAAAACCACTTGTCCAATTTCAACCAAACTTTGCAGGATTGATCCTTGGGTGAAGGGCTCACAAAGTTGTTCAAAGAATTTCATTCCATGCAGAAATCTGGTTGCCATGGCAACCAAAAGGAATTATAAGAATAAATTTTAAAAATCTTCTTGTAAAGACCCAAAAGGCCTAGAGCTTAGATATTTGCATAAGGCATTGTCTGGTAGACCTCTACCAAGATTGTTCAAATTATAGCCCTGGGGTCAAAATCGGCCCCGCCCCGGGGTCATTGATTTTCACTATATGTACATATAGTAAAAACTTAAAATACCTTCTTGTAAAGACCCAAAAGGCCCAGAGCTTAGATATTTTGCATAAGGCATTGTGTAGTGAAACCTCTAGCAAGATTGTTCAAATTATAGCCCTGGGGTCAAAATCGGCCCCGCCCGGGGGTCATTGAATTTCACTATATGTACATATATAGTAAAAACTTAAAATACCTTCTTGTAAAGACCCAAAAGGCCTAGAGCTTAGATATTTTGCATAAGGCATTGTTGTAGTGAACCTCTAGCAAGATTGTTCAAATTTTAGCCTTGGGGTCAAAATCGGCCCCCCCCTGGGGTCATTGGTTTTCTTTATATGTATATTGTAAAAACTTACAGTAAAAACTTTAAAAAAAATTTCTTCTAGCAATTGACAAATGCTAGAGGTTAGATATTTTGCATGAAACATTGTGTAGTGAACCTCTAGCAAGATTGTTCAAATTATAGCCCTGGGGTCAAAATTGCCCCTGCCACGGGGGTCCTTGATTTCCAATATATTCATATAGTAAAAAATGAAAAAATATTATTGTCTGAAGGTACAAGGCTTAGAGCTTTAATATTTGTTAAATGATATCATCTATAGGTACTCTACCAAAGTTGTTCAAATTTTGCCTCTAGTGTCAAAATTAGCCTCGCCCCGGGGGCCATAGGTTTTCCTTATATGTGTATAATAAAAACTTAAAAAATCATCTTCTCTAAATTTACAAATGCTAGAGTTAAGATATTTTTCATGAAACATTGTGTAGTGAACCTCTAGCAAGATTGTACAAATGATAGTCCTGGTGTCAAAATTGGCCCAACCCCCAGGGGTCAATGATTTTCACTATGTACATATAGTAAAAAAATAAAAAATCATCTTGTCTGAAGGTACAAGGCTTAGAGCTTTGATATTTGGTATATAATATCATCTATGGGTCCTCTACTAAAGTTGTTTTAATTATGCCCCTAGTGAAAAAATTGCCCTGCCTAGAGGCGATAGTTTTCCTTATATGTATAAAGTAAAAACTTGAAAAATCTTCTTCGCTGAATTGACCAATGGCTAGAGGTTAAATTTATGGCATGAGACTTTAGGAAGTGAACCTCTACTAAGATTGTTCAATTATAGCCCTGGGTCAAAATTGGGTCCGCCCCGGGTTCATGATTTTCATTATGTACATATAGTAAAAAAAAAATAAAAATTATTTTTGTCTGAAGCTACAAGGCATAGAGCTTTGATGTTTTGCTATATATTAATATCATCTGTAGGTCCTCTACCAAAGTTGGTCAAATTTTTCCCCTGGTGTCAAAAAATCGGCCCTGCCTGGGGGCATTGATTTTCATTTAGTACACATAATAAAACAGAGAAAAAAACAAATGTTTTTCTGAATGGGAGAAAGCTACAGCTTAGATATTTGACTTAAAATGTTGTTTGGTGGACCTGTATCAAGATTGTTTTGAATTAAACCCTTGGGTCAAAATTTTGCCTTGCCCAAGGGGACAGTGACCTACTTTCTTGTCCTTTGATGTACAGCAATTAAATTTGACCATGTGCACAGTTTTTAAGTTGTAAAATTGAACTTTTATATCAAGTGACCTAGATTTTGATTATGTGGACCTACTTCCTTGTCCTTTGATTGTACAGCTATGAAATGTGAACCATGTGCACAGATTAAGATGTAAAGTGAACTTTGATTATCAGCTGACCTAGATTTTGACAAAGTGTCTTACTGTGTTGTCCTTTGATGTAGTCATGAAATTTAGGCTGTCGTCTGCTTGCTTATCTTTCTGCAAGGGAATGCTAGCAGTTTATAGTAATACTTTGGCTTTGCATTGGTACCGGCTCATCCAGACAATAATACACGAGGTTAATAAAAGACCCGTTCTTCAACAGCATTTGTTCCTACACTTCAATTTGTGTAATGCGGTGGCATAGCATTTCTCAAATGCAATCTTGTTTTTTTACATGATGGGGAAAGAAAATAATTGTTCCATTTGATGTAGGTAGGTCTTGACCAATAACTTGTTTGCAAACTTTTAGACCATTCTCTCGCTGTCTCTGTTTTTCCAGAATAGTTATCCTAATTGTGAAAAATTACCCAATATTGAAAAGGCTTGCAATGGTTGTCACTCAATTCAGCTCAAAATACACTTTTAGCACAAAATTTTGATTTTCAATTTATTTCTGAGTATATTTCTTAATTATTTTTTGCACATCTTTCTGTTATAAATGCCCCAGTTGATCTGTATATGAAGTTCAAATTTTATGCTTTTGGAACCTCAGTAGAGTTCCTTTAATGTACACAAGAGTCATGTTAACTTAATATGTTTCACTGTGATTTCAAATTGTGTTCTTGCAAGTATTGATTCATCTAGATATAGATATTTGTGAAACATTTCAAAAGGTAACTTTGTTAACTGAATTAAGGAATTCAATTTAACTTTTATAATTATAATTTATAATTATATGTATATAATTCAGTTATGTTATGGAGAAGATGGACATGGTATTATGTGGTGCTGAAGGTGTTGTAGAGAGTGGTGGAATCATAAATAAGGTAAAAGTTACCTATACAAGGCATTTATATTATGACAAGGTGACTAGACTAAGACTTAATGTAAGGCAAAAAATATAAAGGCAACCAAATATTTTTCCATTCTGATTTTTCCCTTGTGATAGCCCAGACAATGTCATAAAATAACATATGACCTGGGCTCTAAAGGACAAGTTTTCGAAATTCTTTTAATTTACCAATAAATTTGGTATTTTTAGACAGTTTGCTTTATTTTTACTAGCCCTTATCCTGTTGAATTTCTCAAATGGATTTGTTAAGTTTTCATGAGTTGAAACAGTCCATTATCTATTTTGGAAATATAAAGATGATAATTTGAAGCTAGTCAGCCAACATGATTGAGCCTGGTCAGACTGCATGGATATGCAGGCTTTAAAGGATGTGCTTGCTGGCCTGGCTCTATACTGGTGGCAAATGCTAATAATTTTAGATTCCTGCCGGCTTGTCAGGTTAACATATTGATGCTTTATGCCAAAACCATCATACTATAGCAAAACTGATATTTACACAGAAGGTTTATTTTTAGATATTTAAAGTTGCAAGGGTGTTATGATTTTTGTTTTCACATTGTTTTGTTTTAATTACAGATTGGAACGTTTTCAATAGCCATTGCAGCAAAGGCCATGAATAAACCTCTTTATGTGGTGGCAGAGAGTTTTAAATTTGTACGACTTTTTCCCTTAAATCAACATGATCTACCAAATGAATTTAAAGTAAGTTTTTAACATTGCATAGTTCACCATAATTTGAATTTTACTATAATTGATTCTAACTTGGTTGCTTTTAGCTGATCTCATGCAAACTGGAGTCCACTTGGGTCCCCTTCATTGACTAATTTATACTGGCGCCATATAAGGCAATAGGTTTGTGAATCCAGTATTGTTAAGACACAGTAGTTCAGAAATTTGCACTTTAGCCAATGGTCACCAGCCCGCTTGAATACACCTTCATAATTTTAGTTAAATCACACAGATTTGAAACTGTCCTGCTAAAGGGAAGAAAATATGATAAGAAGTAATGGACAAAAAGTTTATTTTATGCTTTTCGGATTAACCAGTACTGGTGCCATATGAGGAACATGGACTTTTTAAGACTTTATCCATTATTGTCAAGAGGCAAATAATGTAACAGGTTTTCCATAGGCCTCTACTTCCTTTAAATGTAAGACATTGCCAAATTTATCACATTCTTAACTCCTCCAAGAATGTTCATGCCTTTCAAATTTTTTTCTATGGAGCATCATGTTGCTAGTTTGTCACTCCTTCTTACCTTCGTGCACGCTATATCACATATGTAGCTCTATATTTGTTTATGTTATCCCAAGTATTGCCAAATGCAATGTTTTGCCATTTTGCAAATAAAATTTGAACTTTTAAAAACAATGGAAGACATATGATAGTATGTCATTTAAATATTTACATAAAATATTGTATACCAAGTACCCATATTCATGAACATGTATCAGCAAACTTTAATACTGATAATCTCCATTTGAAACAGGTCAGATAAATAATGTGTAAGGAATGGATTTAACTCACTACATTGTTGGAGTAGTAATTTTAGAGGCTTGCAAAAATCATGATAACAAAATAGAAAAATATTGATTTTTCACCGATTTTTACATTTTTTTCATCATAATCGTATATAAATTTGGTGTGAACAGAAGAGTTAGACATCTTAAAGAGCATTTTGTGTGGTGAATATCGGATATTGTAACATTTAATCATTCAAGCATCTTGTCGGTTTGTACCAGAATAGGGTATTAAGTGCGGTGCTCCCAACACTTTTTATGTCTCTTTCGTGAGTAGTAATATCTGGTTATCTCTGTCTTTATTACAGTATAAAGCATCTACTCTGAAGAAAGGAGGCAACCTGGATGAGGAACACCCACTAGTTGACTACACACCACCTAATTACATTACATTGTTATTCACAGACCTCGGAGTGTTAACACCGTCTGCTGTCAGTGATGAACTCATTAAACTTTATTGCTGAAAATTTAAAAAAAAATCATAAGAATATGTAAAAAGTAAATGTTGGGAGAAAAAAAAAATAATAAAAAAGCAGAATAAAATTTTGATTTGTTTCATTATTTTGTACATAGTAGTATGCGAGTATTAAAATAACAGCTTGAGACAGATAAAATTTCTGCAATTTCCAACTCCATCTTTTGTAACAATCACATTTTGTGGTATCTTTTGTACCATATCAGGATTTTTACTAACAAAAAAGAAACGGAAGTTGTTAAAATGAAACACAGTTGATGTGCATTGCACAAAAACCAGGAGTATTTATAAGATATAATGTTACCATGTTCTGTGGTTGTCTGGTGTCTAAACAGATAAACACCTCACAGATAACTGGCTATTGATTAATTTTGATTTGGTCTTCAACATTCTTGAATAGTTTGTAATTTTCACTTTAGTTTGTTATTAAAATGGCCTTTTAAAGTTTGTTATTAAAATGGCCTAAAACCAGCAAAAACTCACAGGGTAGATAATGTGAAGAAATTCTGTTAATTAGTTTGAATTTTCCTTCATTGTCAGTAAATATTATGATGAAACTATAGGAACTGTCTTTTAAACTTTTTTAACCAGGTTTTCAACGAAAACCGGGTTATTGTAATGCCGAAGTCTGCGGGCGGGCGGGCGTCAACTTTTGGTTTCCGCTCAATAACTTTAGTTTGCTTTGGCCTTTTGACACCAAACTTGGTGTGTAGGTAGCTTATATCAAGAGGCAGCTTGGGATTGCTACCCATGTGTATGTGATAAAGGTCAAGGTCACTGTTACTAAAAATAGAAATTCAGTTTTCGGTCAATAACTTGAGTTTGCTTTGGCCTATTGACCCCAAACTTGGTCTGTAAGTGGCTTATATCAAGATGCAGCTTGGGATTGCTGCCCAGGTGTATGTGGTTAAGGACAAGGCAACTGTTAATAAAAATAGAAATTCAGTTTCCGCACGATAACTTGAGTTTGCTTTTGCCAATTGACGCCAAACTTGGTGTATGGTTAGCTTGTATTAAGCGGCAGCTTAAGGTTGCTTCCCAGGTGTCTGTGATCAAGGGCAAGGTCACTGTTACTAAAAATAGATATTCAGTTTCAATAACTTGAGTTTACTTTTGCCTATTGACACCAAACCTAGTGTATGGATAAATTATATCAAGAGGCAGCTTGGGATTGCTACCCAGGTGTCTGTGATCAAGGTCACTGTTACTAAAAATAGAAATTCAGTTTCCGCTCAATAACTCGAGTTTGCTTTGACCTATTGACACCACACTTGGTGTATGGATAGCTTATATCAAGAGGCAGCTTGGGATCGCTACCCAGATGTCTGTAATCAAGGTCAATGTCACTGTTACTTAAAATAGAAATTCAGTTTCCGCTCAATAACTTGAGTTTGCTTTGGCCTTTTGACACCAAACATGTTTTATGGATAGCTTATATCAAGAGGCAGCTTGGGTTTGCTACCAAGGTGTCTGTGATCAAGGTCACTGTTACTAAAAATAGAAATTCAGTTGCTGCTCAATAACTTGAGTTTGCTTTGGCCTATTGACACCACACTTGGTGTATGGATAGCTTATATCAAGAGGCAGCTTGGGATCGCTACCCAGATGTCTGTAATCAAGGTCAAGGTCACTGTTACTTAAAATAGAAATTCAGTTTCCGCTCAATAACTTTAGTTTGCTTTGGCTTATTGACACCAAACTTGGTGTATGGATAGCTTATATCAAGAGGCAGCTTGGGATTGCTATCCAGGTGTCTGTGATCAAGGTTAAGGTCACTGTTACTAAAAATATAAATTCAGATTCTGCTCAATAACTTGAGTTTGCTTTGGCCTATTGACACCTAACTTGGTGTATGGATAGCTTTTATCAAGAGGCAGCTTGGGATTGCTACCCAGGTGTCTGTTATCAAGGTCAAGGTCACTGTTTCTGCTCAGTAATTTGAGTTTGCTTTGGCCTATTGACACCAAACTTGGTGAATTGACACCAAACTTGGTGAATGGATAGGTTATATCAAGAGGCAGCTTGGGATTGTTATCTAGGTGTCTGTGATCAAGGTCAAGGTCACTGTTACTAAAAATAGAAATTCAGTTTCTGCTCAATAACTTAAGTTTGCTTTGGCCTAATGACACCAAACTTGATGAATGGGTAGCTTATATTAAGAGGCAGCTTAGGATTGCTACCCAGGTGTCTGTGATCAAGGTTAATGTACATGTATTTAGTTTTCATGTTATAACTTTAGTTTGCTTTGACCTTTTGACACCAAACTTGCCGAGTGGCAGCTTTGGATTGCCACCAGATATCTGGGAGCTAGTTCAAGGTCATTTGCTTACAATAGAATTTTCAGTTTCTGCTTAATAACTTCAGTGCTTTCTGACCTATTGATTGCTGTCACATCAAAACTTGGTCGTTAAAAACCTGGTTTTCGTCGCATTGCGGCGCTTCTTGTATTCAATATTTTGTCATCACAAGTTTCTTCCTAATAATTTATGTGATCTCATCATAAGAGATTGCCTGATAATACAGAAGTTGAAACTTCCTTTGATTGTTTTGTGTTTTGCAAGTGTGTGCATGTATAATCAATAACTCCTGGTAATGTTACCTAAGTTAGAAATAGATACATTACATGAACAACTGTTTATATGGACCAATGGTTGATAGATCAAAGTGTTTCAAATATGAAATGACTGGAAAAAATTCTATATCGGTCCATTTGATACATTATTTTTTTTATTTTTTTTTTGGTATAAATAACAGGCAAATGCCACTGTAGTGGCTTTTTTATAACCAAAATTAATTTCAATGGCTCATTAAGTTTCGGAAATTAATAAATCTTTGCTTCAATAAAAAAGCAAGCATCCAATGTTGTAATAATGAATTAAGAGCATGTGAGATGCTTTTCACCTGAAGAAAGTATCATTGAAAGTGAAATAATTTGTGAAAAATGAAGCCAAATCACTAAATTTTAAGTGTTTTAGTTGCCAAAAATACAAAAAAGCAAAATTTGACTCCAGTATCCACATACTGCCAGTTTTCAATCACAACCACTTTTCAATCACCCCTGGAAATTCTTTATTTTTGACCTTATTTGTCATGTAACCAAACTGTATGCACATCTTGTATTTACCTTGACTGCATTTATCAGCAGCAATGTCAATAAAATATGGCGTTAAAAAAGAAAATAACAGTATTTTAGTTCAAAATATGTAAAATTTGTGTTTTCCACTAATCCTTTATTTACCCAGTTACAAATCGCAATAATTTTCTAAAAATAATTGATTTACAGACTCAGTTTTTTGTCAGTCTGCAAAAATGGATATTAAGTTAGACAACTGTTTCAATATCATTAAGTCATAATGTATACTGCACTTCAAAAGCTATAATTTTAAAATGTACATATTTTACCATACAATTCTTAATTGGAAGATTATACGTCAGTAAACTAACAGTCACTTAAACAAGGAAAAACATTCTCTCCGATAACTTTTCAGAAAGCTGTCACTAGAATGGGGTCATATAGACCCTAAGATTCTAAAAATTTCACAAGAACATGCTTTTTCTGTTATGCACATTGAGATGTACATCCCTACCCCAATTGTTACAGCTTTACTACTGCAAAAAGATATCAAGATTGAAAAATGTCATTATAAATAGGTTAAAATTGTTTATTACCATTTATCTGAAGTTGAGTTTGTCAAAATTTCTTCAAAATACATAACTGGTTATATTTTAACATTGTATGACAATTTTTATGTGGTACAGTTTATATTTTGTTAACTGATTGAAAAGTGGTTGTGAAATTTAGAAGAACAGGAAAATGGGTCAGTAATGATTTGTCCTCGATTCATAATAATAATTCAGGTAAAATTTTAAAAAGTTGTTGCATTTATTAGCTGAAATGCTAATATTTGCAGAATTGTAAGAAAAATTTTATTTTTATAATTTCACTGTCAGTTATTATAGAAAAATCTGTTAGCTGATCGGAAAGTGGCAGTACGGGGATATATGAACATTAATACAAATTTAAAAAGGTTCACACATTTCAAAAATTTATTGAAATCAGCTATTTTATTTTGTCAAATTTCCATTGCAATATTGATAATATATCTATTTTTTTCAAAATAAACAAGGTAGATAATTGTAACTTGTGACTAAATGATCATAAATCTGGGACCAAAAATATATTGGTTCCAACATAAATTTATGATTTTTTTTTCTATTTAAAAGTAACACTGTGATGACATCATGCAATTATTCTAATATCCATTTATCTCAATTCTCTACAGTTATATTCAATATATAAATATATAATGTTGTCAATAAATGTATCACATAACATACAAAATAAAAAAGTTAAGGTTTTTCCAAATAAAAAGTACTCGGAGAACTTGGAATTTACTCAAAGCTGTATTCTCGTCATCGTCTTCACGACTACCACTTTATCATAAAGTTTATGGCTTCATGTTTTATTAACAATGTGTGGAGATATTCATCCAAATCCGGGACCAGATCATTCTCAATCTTTCTCGAGCTCAGTCTCATCAGAATCTTTTCTTGATAACACTCTCCATGATTTTTTTAAATGTTCAAAATATCTTACAGTTGTTCACTATAATGTCCAAAGCATATTTCCTAAGCTTGACATCCTTTATGCTGAATTAAGTAATCTCGATATTCTTGCTTTCACCGAAACATGGCTAGGTGACTCAGTGTCTACAGTTAAAATTTCGGAAACTCAGAAATGAAGCAGTTCAGCTAGTCAAAGACAGCAAATCTCGTTACTTTCTTTCATTGTCTGACAATCTTAAATCAACTTCCATATCATCAAAAGATTGGTGGAAAATCCTCAAATCCTTTATATCATATTCAACAAAAAAAGGTATTCCTTCTCTTATTGATCCAATTACTAATTCCATTGTATCTGAAGAACCTGAAAAGGCTAATCTACTAAACACTTTTTTCAAGAACCAGACAATGGTTGACGACTCTAACAGGGATCCCCCCAGACCCTCAGACATAGACAATCAACAGACATTGGAAACGATTTATATATCTCCTTCTGAAATTGAGGATGTACTGAAATCTTTAAAAACCGATAAAGCATCTGACCTGACACTATCAGTTATCGAGTTTTATATGAGGCCTACCAACAACTTTCTCATTCCCTTTCACCAGCTCTTTAACTTCTCACTACGATCCAAGAAAATGCCGACATCCTGGAAGTTGTCAAATGTCTGTGCTGTATATAAGAAAGGCGATCCTGCTGTTGTAAACAATTATAGACCTATATCTTTACTCAACACTATTGAAAAAGTATTTGAACGAGTAGTCTTTAAACATATCTTTAACTTTTACAGAGACATTTCATTCTTCACTCCATCTCAGTCGGGATTCTTGCCAGGTGACTCAACTGTAAACCAACTTGCGTATCTTTACAATAATTTTTGCAAGGCTTTAGATGATGGCCTTGAGGTGAGGGTCGTATTTTTTGATATTAGTAAAGCATTTGATAAAGTTTGGCACCAAGGTTTGTTAGTGAAACTTCATGAATCTGGAATTCGTGGAAATGTACACCAATGGCTTTCTGATTACTTAACAAATCGTAGACAACAAGTTGTTCTTCCTGGTACCATGTCGGACTGTGTTACAATTGCATCTGGAGTCCCCCAAGGATCAATACTTGGGCCTCTCCTATTTCTTGTTGATATCAACGATATTGTTCAAGATATTGGTTCCAACATTAATCTTTTTGCAGATGACACTAGTCTCCATCTGATTGTTGAAACACCTTCTGAAACACATGATACAATGCAGAATGACATACAAAAGATTTGTCTTTGGGCTGATAAATGGCTAGTTAACTTTAATACATCTAAATCCGAGTCAATGATTATATCAAGAAGAATTAATAAACCACATCACACACCTTTCTCCATGTATGGCCAACAAATCCCTCAAGTTTCTGATCACAAACATCTAGGAGTGTTTTTTTTCTGATGATTGCTCTTGGCATTCCCATATCAATTATATAAAAGAAAAGGCATGGAATAGAATAAACATAATGCGTAAACTTAAATTCAAACTAGACCGAAAGTCTCTAGAAATCATATATACATCCTTCATTCGTCCTATTATTGAATATGCTGATATAATATGGGACAATTGTACATCTTACGAAAAACAAGAATTAGACAAAATTCAAAATGAAGCAGCACGTATTGTGACGGGTGCAACAAAGCTGATATCGTTAGCTGATTTATACAATGATGTAAATTGGGAATCACTTTCTGACAGAAGAAGGAAGCATAAGCTTATTCAACTTTACAAAATGAAAAATTGTCTCACTCCATCCTATCTATCGTCTATTGTACCAATCTTGTTGGCCTGAATACTACATATAACTTACGTAATTCTCAAAATATAGATACAATTCGTACAAGAACAACTCTATACTATAACTCCTTTCTACCAACGGCACTTCGTGAATGGAATTCCTTACCGATTGAAACCCGTCAGCTACAGTCATTGAATTCTTTCAAAAAGCTCTTGAACGAAGACAAAACTAAAACTCCCGACACTTCTATTATGGAGATAGACGGTCACAAATTCTTCATACCAGACTTAGAACGAAATGCAGCTCTCTTAATCACCACTTGTTCTTAAAAAATATAGTATCATCTCCTTTATGTAGTTGTGGCCTAATTGAAGACAATCACCACTTCTTCTTTACTTGCAAGAATTATACACAAATAAGAAATGCACTTTTTCAAACTTTGACTCCAATATGTTCCATTGATCTTCGAACCCTTCTATATGGAGATCCGTCAAATGATTACCAAACAAACACATGGATATTAGATGCAGTATTTGAATTTATAAATAGCAGCGGACGTTTCCACTAGATGTATTTTATACTACCAACATTTAATATACTGCAATATCTCCAATTTGACCTCTGTTCGTTAGTCTGGTCTTTCCAATATTTTTTGTCTTCTTTTGATATATATTTAATATACACATAATATTTTTTCTGGTTAGCTTAAAATAGTTAATTTCTAGACATTTGCTAAATTTGCTTTAAGTGCCAGTCTAAATAAAAAAAAACTTATTTTTGTCTGTTTTCTTTTGCTTAGTGCTCATCTGAAAATTTCTTTTTCCTTTTTTTTTTTCATTGTTTATGTTTAAACTAAATCTTGCAATATTCTTATTTAATAATTTAAATGAAATAGCTATCCTGCCATATATGTTTGTGTAAATATCATTTGTTATCTAGGGAGAGGAACTATATAAGTTTTCTTTCGTTCTAATCCCTTTCAATTTATGTAACAATTATTCACATATAAAATGTAATATATGTAAAATATTGAAATAAATATGTTTAAACATCAGATGTGAAAAAACAACAACAATTTCTCTATGATATTAGGTCAATTTTATTGACTTAATCAAATTTTCAATTTAATTGAATGATACAAATAATTGGTGAGATTTGGATTTTCCAACAGATCAAAGACAATTCAAATTGAGTAGGCCTAATTTAGATCTTTTAGAAATGGAAATAATTTAGTTGGGCACAACCTATACTGTAAAACGTAAAAGCCGAGATAATCCCATTATAAAATATGCAAACTTCCGGGAAGTCACGTGTGATTGTTTGTTATTGGCGGTCCGTTTGAAGTGAGTCATATTATTTTTTGAGAAATGGCTTCTTTTAAGAATATGTTGCGGGGTGCTGGGGCGCGTAATCGATATGAAGCTGTAAGAGGCAAAGAAAACAAAGGTTATCTTGAAACTCCACGTTCAAAAAGCACACAGTCACACATGGCGAAAAGTGCAGGAAGTCAGTCGTGTCACGGGGAAAGTTCTGAGAAGTCCAAATCGCAGTCAAACTTTAGGAGAAACAGCAGTGTAACGCAATCGGTTAGAGATGTTGTGGGAACAATTAGACAGGTAATATTTATGTGTCGTATTAAAGTTTTTTCATATACATTTTTGTATACATGTCGGACCTGGGTCACGTTGGACCAGAAAAACTGTAGTGTTAGTTATTTCAGTTTTCAAACCATCTTTAAAAGTTCGAGGTGGCGCAATAGCTCAGTTTATTAGACCCCTGACTGTCACTCCTGAAGTCCTGGTTTCGATCCTGGTTAACACCCTTGGGATTTTTTGGAGACACTTAAGTGTTTCCCACTTACATAGAGGTGTACTGACCAGTAAGAAAAATTGACTTAAAATCCAGTTAACACTTGCATACATGTATCAGTGCTTTACACAGTAACACTGGGCATGTAAAAGAACCGCAAGTTAACTGGACTCTGAAGGAAAGAGTCATGTCTACATCCACACAAGGGGTTTGACATTTATTCACGAATTCGAAAACCTAGCTAAACGCTGTTATCCGGTACTTTCTGTACATAGCTCTGGGGAATTTACCCAATCAATAGAGTGTAACAACGAACGCTATATGTTTTTGGCCTTTTTTAATTTAAAGTGAGATAAAACTGTTATTTTTTTGTAAGAAAATAATAAGATATCATTGAATGAATTATTCCATACAAAATATAAGGTAAATACACAGGTTTACGGTAAAAATGTCTTTATTTATCATGAAAGATGCCACAACGACTGTTTAAATTTTATTGATTTTTATTATAAACAATTTATTTTTTGTAAACTTTGCAATTGAGCTTAATCCGTAATGTACCGGAAAACGGTGTTTAGCTAGGTTTTCGAAAAGGTTAATGGAAGATAGATAGAAAAGTTAAAAACTTAAACATGAGTGAAAATATTGGACGGTAATTGCTTTAGTATACTATCTTTTTTTGTATAATTTATCAGGGTTTGAGCTGGTTTCTGGTAATCAACCCTTTTGGGATCCAAAAACAATAACATTATTACTATAACCTTACAAAATTAGGCACCAAACTGGCAAACAGGCATTCTACCTGTTATGCATGTGCGACCCAAAAACCAGAATTGACATACATATTGTAAACATAATGCAGTTACGGGTTAACTCCTTTTAAAATTCAATAGGAGTTAACCGGTTACTGCACTAAGGTGACAGTATATCCTTTAAATAATATTGATAGTTCATTAACTTAAATTGCACAATAATGATTTACACATTTTCTTCCTAAAAAATTGCAGTTTAAATGACTAATTCAATGACATAAACATTTTGATGAATTTAACATGCTTACAATAATAAATTCAGAAACTGAAAAAGTCCACCCGTCAGAGAAAACGTCTTCAAGATGGTATAAATTCACCGATGTCTCCAACAGCAAGATCAAGAAAATCAAGTAAAAAGATCCAAGCCAAAACTACAAAGGGCGGTATGATGATATTTTTTAATACAAATATTTAACTCATTATGCCCCAGAAATGTTTTTATTTTTATTTCTCAAAAGTTTTTTTTGATATTGGTGTACCTGTTATAGTATCCAAAAAGTTTCTCATTGGCAAATTATCTGAACTATCTGTGGCTTTTTGGCATTAAGTACAGGTATATAGTGAATAAGTATTTTGCATGGAAGTAAAATACTACTTTGTTTACACTACGCTACTTTTAAGTTTTATGACAAATTATTTTACATTTATCGCTACTTTCTTCAAACATTTAACATTCTTTAAATCATTATTTAAACATTTTATAATTCATGTTTAGAAGTAAAGAAGTAAATATTAATTTGTTGTTGAGACATAATGTGCCATTCATACTCTATTCTTTAATTTGATGTGTAAGACAGAAGTGAGGATGTTGTGATATCACTACTAGATTTTCATGAAGCAGTAACAGCAAAACATTAGCTAATTGTGGCTTTAGTTAAATATTTGTTTCTTGTCTGACAGATTGTTAAATGCATGTACAAAGTGTATTTGGGGTTGTACACAAGATCCTATAAGCTGCAATGTGTAATTTTGTAATTTCCGATTGCATTAAAACATATTCAGTAAAACATATTGAACATATTAACCACTTTTTTTAAAGGTTATAGAGAGGTGAGCATGTATTCTCCATTTCAAATAGAAACACCCAAATCACGAGCAAAGATGGGCATTAGAGCTAGGCCTAGGTGGTAAGTATCATTTATTCAAATAACTTCAGCCTTTTATGATTAATTTTATAAATGAGATTTGTCTGCTTGATTTTACGTTACTATGTAACATTCTACAATTACATTGTATGAACAGTTAGTAAAATATTTGAGGAGAGCTTCCATGGCTAAGTTTATATTAAGTTCCCAAACTTCAAATCGCTTGACCCTCAGTGTTGTTGTTGTTTCAAATCCTGTCAGGGAATTTAGATTCTTTCATGCGAGGAAGCTATCCAGCTAGCTAATGGAAGGTTGGTGGCTCTATTTGGGTGCCTGCTCATGTCTGAAATAATGTTTAAAAATGTCACCTGTGGTCTTCCTTCACAATCTAAGCTTGAAAGTTGCCATGTGGCCTTTATAGTGGCAGTGTGGCTGCTGGCATGAAACCAAACAAAACAAGCAATCAAGTTCTGTAATTTTGAAATATAATACCTTCGATATAAAGACTTTGGACAGGTGAAATGGACATGTATATATATAAATTTTATTTTCTTTATAAATGCCATCAACCGGCTCAAATGTGATCAAGTGGCTTGCTTGCAGTTCTTAATACTAGGCTATATAATCAGCTCGAAATCTTTATTATTACTTTATTGATAATTTTAACTTTTCTCCTGCTAAACATACTTATTTTACAAAATGTATGTGTAATAATAATAAAAAAATTTGTACCTCAAGGCATGATGTTGAAACACCTACAAGACTAAGAAAGGAAGTAGAAGATTTGACAGCAAACATGCAAGCATTGGTCAACTTAACACCTGGAACACTTCAAACAAGATCCAGATCTAGAAGGTAATCTTGAATTTTCAGAAGTGACAAAATTTTACTTGTCACTTGTGTGACTAAAGCAAAGTTATGACCCTTGATTCAACAAAATTTAATAAGAAGTTAATATTTGAATTTTTAAGAGAAAAAATTTTTCTTGAGCAACTGAAGCAAAGTTATGACCTTGATTCAACAAGTTGATATTTGAATTGTTAAGAGAACAAATTTTTCTTCAACAACTGAAGCAAAGTTTTGACCCTTTATTGAACAAAATTAAATAAAATAACATGTTTGACTTTTCTTTTAAATTTTTAAAATTGCCTGTATGTATATTGGACAGAAATAAAGAACTAAAGCATGAAGTAATTGAATTGTTTTTCAATGACTTTATTAGGTTATTATGATATTTCAGGTCATTACAGTGTTTGTCGCCAATTACAAACGGTTCTCTGAAGACACCAAGGGCAGGGCGACGGAGGGAACAGATCACAGAAATTTAATTGATTTACAGAATATAGATATTTTATGTTCTTGCCACATTGGGTACCAAGAAGAGAGCCAGAAATTTATTTTTTTTATACATATATGTATATTACTGCTTTAGATATAAATGTATAAGGTTGTACCAAAAAGAAAAAATCAGACTAATGTGTGATGTAAAAGGGCAACTAGTTGTCTTGTATTACGTGTTGTAGATCTGGATTCAATGATAATTATGATCTTTTCACAGAAGTGGTTTGACATTGAAAGTCAACCAAATAATGGTAATAAATGTTACGATCTTATATGTTAATGTGTAGATAAGTGCAATACATTTGTAATTGTTATAAAGGAAGCCAGTTCAAGCTACCTAAGAAAATTGTTGTCACATTTGACCCAAATTGTTAAAATTTGGGCTGGTTGATGGGCAATATGTATCAATGTTGTTTTTTCCGACTTGATTGAAACATAATTTATATACATTTCATTTCAAAAAGAAAAGGAAAGATTTTGCATTTTTAGCTTGTCTGTTTTAAATAAAAAGGTCAAGTTGTAATGATTGCTGCAGCGTTGTTGTGCATAATCTTTAATGTAGCCCAATATTCAAACATTTCAAAAGTTATCAACATGAAACTTAAAATTCTTGCTTATGACAAGGCGCAGTTGTTAGACATAAGATGATAAGGGCATTTTTCTCAAAGCTATGTTTTTGAAGTTACGCTTTTAAATTTAGATTTTTTGTCAAAATTGGTTGCACTGTACAACAAACTAGATGCAACACTGTGTCCTTTATTTTGCTATCTTGTATGGAAACAAAGAACAGATCTGACAAGAAGGATTTGATGGATTATTTTTTGTGTAGATGGGTCAGTCAAAAGTGGCAAACAATATACTGTTTTAAAGTCTAATTTGGTTCTCGAGAGCCATTTAACTGGTACTTTTATGTTTTGTTTTAATTGCATGTTTTACTGGAATATACTCATAGAATAGGGCTTAAGAATGCAGCGTGTATTAATGTTTTAAAGTTTTTAGGACATAATATTTAAATATATTCTGTGGCTTATTTGGCATTAATTATGTTTTAATTTTACTTAAAGGTGCTTAAAAAAGTCAGTTTCTATCTGCCAGTAGATATTGATATGATTTTTTTTAGTTTGGGAGTTTTACCTCATGCTTTTAGTGTTGTTGGTGCCTTGAAAGTGTTGTTTGTCATAAAGCGGCTTTTTAGCCAGGAGTCACAATTGCTTTTAAAAGACTAGTTTTAATATAATCTGTTGATTTCATTAAATTTTGATCAGTTGAACAGTTAGATACATTGAGGGTTGACCGCAAAACTGCAGTATATTATATAACATAAAGAAGGACTTACAACAGTTTTGTTCGACCCTCGACATGTGTCCTCTTGTGCCCTGCCTTGTTTTTGTTTGGGGTCCGTCTGGGCTCCTTTCCACTGGTTTTTGTTGCTGGGTCGTATGAGGGTTGCGTTCTTTGAACGCGGCCTTTCCTTGTTGATCTTGTTTATGATATTTTGTAACATTTTAATTTTTCTGCATGATTTTGAGATATTATTTGAGCCAAAGACTTCTAAATATTTCGTCAGTAGTAGGCATTGTTTTTAACTTTGTTATTAAAGTTATGTAATCGAAAATGAAACATTATTTAATGGTTGATAACTTGAAACGATCTAGTCTGGCTGTAACTCAACTTGATGTTTATGAGAAGTGATGATGTTTGTTAAACTGATAACATTTCTTTGACCTAGTTTTATAAATGTAATTCATTTAGCAATACTCAAATGTGTTTATTTTATTAACTCAATTTAGTGAAGTTATAAACATATATTTTTAGGTTGAAAAATGTTTACAAATTTCACTACTCCAGTGAATACAAGTTTGTAAATGGTAATATAGTGTTCTCTATTCTAAGTTTTATTTTTTCCCCTCTTTATTCCCTTTTTCCTTCCCTATAAATTTCTCTATTTATTCTTCTTTCCTTTCAATTCTGCCATTCATTGGCTAACTTTCCAGTTCTGTAAATAAAATTGTGGCCTGCATGGCTTAATATATAAAGCTGTTTGCATGCAATTTTTATAACTTTTTTTGTATATTTCTTTGAAATATTCTATATATTTGTATTTTTATAGTATTGTCATGTATTGAAATTATTATTATAATATAAAATCATGTCATGTTAATTATGGTCTCTGCAGGTACGTCCCTTTAACTCTTTTCCATGTCTTTGATCCTCCATGACATTTGATCTTTGACATTCAGTCTAATGTTCATTTATCCTTTGCTGCTTATGCAGAAATCATGTGCAATAAGTAGTATGTTACTTATGGAGGAATTAATAATACTGTTTAGTTGTCCGCACATGTTGGTCAGGTCAGGACCGAGGCCAAGCTGTAATACAGAGAATAGTTCTTAAAACTACAAACAAAATTTAAAGGGTAAAAAAACAACCAATAAAATGACTGGTAGAAATTTAACATGTTTTATTCTCACTGGGAAAAAAATGATGTTTGTAAGTTTAGGATAGTAGATGTGGAACATGCATAAAGTCATTGCTCTTTTCACTAAAATAAACATTGAACACTTTTGTAAAGGAATGTTTTTATTCTGTTTTCTTTAATAATTAATCTGTGTTAGATTGCAAAGGCATTTTTACAAAAATATCAATATGATATGAAATAAATTTGATGGTATAGTTTTTGGTATTTATAAATGCGTGTATATATAACCCAGTTATAGCTTGACATGCTGCAAAGCTTCATGCATTATAAAAAAATTGAAAAGTAAACATGGTAGAATTTTAGGACACAATTAACTCTGTATGCAATATTCTTATTAGGGATAACCCACATTGTCTGCCTTCATAGTACATTGCCTTTATAGAAGATGTATGTGACTTTCATAGTACACAGCCTTCAATGTATTGGCTCAACTTAAAATTCTTCATAAAAAATGTTTGGAACCCATTATCATGTATAATTAACCAGTCAAGGTCGTGTAAGTTATTTTTTCCTGAACGTTAATCTTTCGATTTGTTTCGAGTTTTCCAAATCTTTATAATGTACAGTACTGTCGATTTTTAGTTTGTGTAGACAATTGTTAGATGTAATCTTCTAGATGACTCCTTACAGACCACTAGGGTTTGAATCTTTTAAGAGTACGAGGGGTTATCCAAAAATTCGTGCACTTTTTCAATATCTTTTGAACGCCAACGTGTATGATAATGAAATTTTATCAGCATACTTTGTAGAATATTATCAACATGTTTTGAAAGGAACAATTAACTGCGTCAATAAATAATGGTTTTATATTGCTTTTAAATAAGCACATACACGGCACCTGGCGCACGGTAGAAAAACCAAGTTAGTCATCGTATATTTTTTTGCTAAAACTACTAATTAACGTAGAAAAGCCGCTAAACATCGCATACTTCTTCTATGATGTCATTTAAGGAATTCATTAAAATTATGGACGTCATTCCCTTTAATTTTTGTTGAAAACGCCAAACGACGAGTGTTTACAACGGAAAAATGGAGGACATGCAGAAATAAGAAAATAGCGTGATCATAAAATTTTGTTGCAATTTTGGAATGACACCAACAAAAACATTTGAAGAAAAAACAACAGGCAAACAAAGAAAATAAAATTTTACTTTCATAAGTGTTTAAGTGGCATAAAAAATTTAGTGATGGACATTACTTTGTGAAGCAGTAATGATTATTGACTGCGTAACGTTGAAGCATACGTTGTACGTTAAATATTATGACGTTGACGTCAATAACGTTTTGGAGTGCGCTGCTGTTGGTGACATGTGTTTATGTAAAATTAAATATTGTTGCAATATAAGAAGCTACTAACATGAATTTGTCTGTGTTTATTTGCTATATATTCTTCTAAGCAGTGTAAGAATTTCAAATCAATATCTCAAGTATAGTTTACGCAACAAAGAAAGTCCACAAACTTTTGGATAACCCCTCGTATATTACAGAACATCTGGGGTGCATTTCACTAACATACTTATGTTATTGTAACTCGTTTGAACGTAACTTTTTGCGTAAACAAAACTTAAGTATTTATTTGCGTTTCTCTAAACTTTCTTAGCTTAGTTTAAACGTAAAATTACGCTCACTTATTACTGGCATTAATTACACGTTCTGTTTAGTGAAACGCAACTAATGTATATTTAAGTTTTGCATAAGTCCAAATTTATGTAAAAAGATATGCAAAACTTAAGGGTTGTTAGTGAAAAGCTCGCTTGTACTTCAATATATGTTAAATATTTTTTTACCTTCTCAAAACTAGGATAAATTAAAAAACTTAGGTGCAATGATATTTGTTAAATAAAAAATGTAATGCTGTGTTGTTTGTTTACTGTACTCTTTATTCAAAACTGTCTGTTAGATATTTTCTTACCTTCTCAAAGATATGATATAAAGTCAATAACTTATATGTGCAATGCAATGATATTTATCAAGTGATTACTATATTGTTTGTGTATTACTGTACTCCTTATTTAAAACTTTATAAAACAGATGTTAGGAAGAAAGAAATGTAAGTCAAGTTATAAATTTAGAATTGTTTATTTTTTAAAAACTGGTGCCTACATGTGAAAGATAATTTTTCTATAATCCCTCATAGGAGACTTGTATGATTAGGATCTAGTCTTCTTATAATGTGGTTGTTTGACAAACATTTTAGACACTTACTGTCTGGTATAGCTCCTAATTATTTCTGTGTTCGGAAAATGGGACAGACTATACTTTTTGACAATTTATCTGAAGATATTTAGTCTTCAATCATAAGCCTTCATCATCTGACTTTTTTGGATATATAGCTGTTATTTCCAGAAAAAGATCATAAGGGCTTGTGCAAATGAATAATGCTTATTTCCAGATGTGATGTGTTAATAACACAGCTACAAATGATCCGAAATGACAAAATCTCAATTTTTTTTAAGAATTATGCATAAACTTGATGGTATTTTAGGCCACTAAAAATCAGTACCTTGTCAATTTTGTATAATGTACTAGATCTACTTAACTTCTTAGTATAATTTTTCAGTTCCGTCCGCTGAAGTTTTCTTCATTTATCACATTCAGGGTTTATTTTGTTCAATTTTTTTAGGGCTATATTTGCAAATTAATTAGTCATAATTATAGGAATCACACACGTATTTTGTACGCCAAGTGCTAGCAATACCATGCCACTGGCACCAGCACAGAGCACAGTTATTCCGCACTTCTTTATTGATTGTTACCAGTACTCAATTGTATAACTTTCAACATTTACTGTATAAACTATTAAAGAAGTTTCTGGGAGTAATGCAAATTTTTTAACAAAGGCACAGAAGAAAAATTTAAACTTGCACAGAGAACAGAAAGCATTAAGGAGAATAGTGATTAAAACAAATAAAAAATGTTGTCACCTTTGTTTTTGAGTTATCTGCCCCTAAAAGTGAGATTTTTTACTACTTTGGTCTCTTGCAGGAGCAGATTATTAAAAAATCAAGCTCATTTTGTACCTTATTTTATTCAAATTCTGTTTTGCTATTTCATATTTAGTCATTATGCAAAGATTAAGACAATTCTATCTAAAAAAAACCAAAACTTTTGCCATGCTTCAATGAATTTACATATTGAACTTCTTGCCTTTTAAAAAAAATATTGCACTACTCTCAAAAACGTCTTTAAATCTTTAGTCCATTGCAGAAATATATTGGGGACAAGGGTATATATATAAAGTGATAAAGATTTAAGCATATATTATCTTCTGCTTGTAATAGTAGAAACTATAGTGCTTCAGATTATCAAATAAATTATGTAAATTGTATGATCTTTATTGTTTTCCTTTTGAGAATGTATCAGTCATAAAAACTGAACATGTGTTACCACCATTTTGAGAATTATTTGGATAGGTCTCCAATTTGTTTAATTTTACAAGATTTATTTGAGTTCTATTGCAATGAAAGCTTATGGCTTACTTCAATTTTTGAAAGTCTACAGTCTGCTGGCTGGAATTGCATGTACTGGCTCAGTATGACTCAAACCCAAGATCTCTCGTTGAGAGGTAGGCAGTAACTGCTAGACCATTTCTTTTATGTTTTAAATCTCAGCCAATCACAAGCTCATCCCTATTAAGTTGTTTGTTTTACTGGTTATAGCTAGTCATTCATTACTACATGGCCAAGATTACTAGATATAGTCTGGAAATCAACTGAGAGTGTCAATGCAATAACTGCCAATAAGGAGGCTAATATGCATGTAAACTGAAGGAGGGCCTATCAGCCAATAATGAGGCACAGAGTAAGGACCTCTGACATGTCACCATCTTGCCTTAGAAGTGAAAATTTTTAAGCAAAAAGTGGTTATAATTTATTCCTGTGCAGTTCAACAGAGAAGTAGCTGAATAATTAATTTTGAGCCAGAAAGGTCTCTTAAGTGGCATATAAGACCTGTATCTAACATTAACCAGTGGAAATAATTGAAAGGTGAGGTAGCCCTGATAAAGGCTGATATACTTAAGGTACATGTATAAGGGTGCTATTCCATTGGTACTTAATGATTTTTCCGTAATTTATTGTTTTTGGTATAAGAAGGAAATTATATAATATTCTACAAATAATTATTCTCTGCTTGCTACACTATAACGGATCCATTAAAGCAACCGTGGACATGCCCTCGATGCAATTCGTGTACTAATGGAATAGCAGCCCAAGACCTGCCTTTTAAGCCATCTCTGTGTACAAGGAGCTTGTGCATCTTTAAATACGATTTCTCTCATTGTCCATGCCACTTTGTAGGCATCAGTCGGGACCTTCTGGTTTGAAAATTGGAGGTTAAAGTTGTCCTGCCAATGACCTTTGCCTCCATGCGAGGTGCAAGCTCCAAAGGGATGAATAACCATTGCCTTTTATCCATAAATTTATCCATCATTATACAAATAAACAACCAACATGTCTGTTTTTCTTTTAACTCTTTATTTTTATAATAAAATAATATAATCTTAATGCCTATTTCCCTAATTCTGCCGGCCCGGGGCAAGACATAAAACATACGTATAAAAGTATAAATGTAACAATATTATATTGCAAGAGCTAAAACTTTTCACACTTCTATATAATATAAAGAGATAAATAAAAAAAAATGACTAAATTTATATATTAACATGAATAAAAACTACAAAAAGGAACATCGCAATGCGATGCAACCAGGTTTTCAGCAAAATATTTCACAGAAGCTTTGTCATGAAGGGGCATTTGTTTTTAATTGAACTTTTAGGAGGAATTATGGCTTTTTTAATATTCCTCAAACAAAAATGATTGAGAAATTTTATGTTGTCTATTCGCCTTTTTTTCCCAAATATTTTAGAAAGGTAAACAGTACTTTATTTTTGCTTAATTTTTGCATTTTTGCGTCTCTTGTCATTTTCTTTTGTCAACAATATTGGCGTGTGGTGTTTTGTGCGATATCAAGAAAAGTATGTTCACAATTTTAAAAAAATACTTGAATGATGTCTTGGAAGAAACATGGGAATTTAGTGAGCGCCAGGGCACTTGATGACAAAGCTTCTGTGAAAGTTTGGTCAAAATCCATTGAGAAATGTAGGAGAAGTTGCGCACAGAAGAAATTGTTCACTATATATTCTATATAAGGGAAAAAAACAAAGGGCCATAATTAGGTCAAATATATACCAATTGCAAAACCCTGGCAATATGTGACAGGGCACTTGATGACAAAGCTTCTGAGAAAGTTTGGTCAAAATCCGTTGAGAAATGTAGGAGGAGTTGCGCACAGAAGAAATTGTTCACTATATATTTTATATAAGGAAAAAAAACAAAGGGCCATAATTAGGTCAAATATTATCTAATCGCAAAACCCCGACAATATGCGCCAGGGCACTTGATGACAAAGCTTCTGTGAAAGTTTGGTCAAAATCCGTTGAGAAATGTAGGAGGAGTTGCGCACAGAAGAAATTGTTTACGCCCGCCCGCCCGCCGACATACCTCAATCTTATAACCAGTTTTTTCCTTCGGAAAACCTGGTTAAAAAATCTATCTAGCATAGTGGTCCCTTTTTTTCAATTCTTATTAATTAATCAAAGCCTTTATTGTTCAGTTTAGAAAAGCATTTAACAAGAGCTGTCCGTAAGACAGCGCGCTCGACTTTTTTATTGCTTGCCAATAAAAAAAGTTTTTGCAGTAAAAGGCAATACAAGAATCTCTGTATTTTTAAAGTGAACAATGGCCATGAGCATTAAGATATTTAGTGAAGAATTATTTTACTGAATTGTGTGATACCCTTGAACACTGCAGCAAAGTTTGAAATGTTTAAGTCAAAAGAGGGCTGGTAAGAAAGAAAAAAAAACTGAGTTGAGCCTTAAATAAATTTAATTCTAAGTCGATAAAAGGCCTTAATTTTTAAAACAAATCCTTGACAGAGTTACCTTCTCTTGCGTACAGATGGGGGTAATGATGTGAAATAGCATTAAAAGTTTCAAAGCAATATCTCAAAGGGTTAAGGCAATAAGTGGATTTTACCCATATTCAATGTATTTTCTAAGTCAAAAAGGGGCATAATTCTGTCAAAAACCTTGACAGAGTTATGTCCTCTTGTCTGTTGATGAAGGTCGTGATGGTAAACAAGTATGGTCAGTTTCAAAGCAATACCTCCAATGGTTTTGAAATAAAGTGAGGTGGTACAAAAAACTTAACCAAGCTCAATACACTTTCTAAGTCAAAAAAGGGCCATAATTCTGTCAAAAACCTTGACAGAGTTATGTACTCTTGTCTGTAGATGGAGGTTATGATGGTGAACAAGTATGGTAAGTTTCAAAGCCATACTTGTAATACTTCTGAAATAAAGTGGGGTGGTACGAAAAACTTAACCAAGGTGTGACGCCGACGCCGACGCCGGGGCGAGTAGGATAGCTCCCCTTTTCATAGAAAAGTCGAGCTAAAAACCATTTAGTTCAATACAAAATAAGCTTTTTTCTAGACAGACATGGCATATCTTTTAAACTATATAAATTAATGCTGAAAATATTGTTAAAATAAATTTATCATTTTGTCCAAGGATTTATATAAATAGGCACCCATTCCAAATCAATACAATAACAACTCTGTGTCGATAATTTATAAATATAAAAAAAAAATAAACCTTTAAGTTCAAGGCCATGTCAAGGTCAAGATCATTTATAAATATACCATTACAAAGCTCTTGAACAGAGAGGTATGTTGTATCAAAGTATTGCTTAAAGAACAACAATGTTACTAATTTTATATTTAAGGTCAAGGTTATTTATGTATCAAGGTCAAATTACAATATCCGAGAATGAAGCTATTATTCATAAATACATATAAAGGGCCTAGCTTGATTGAATGAAGATGCCCAGGCAAAAGTAAAATTTTCAACTTCCAGACAGACAATTTAAAAAAACTATTTGCCTTCTTTGCATTAAAACATGAGATATTTCCATTCTTAACACTCAGCCTACTGATTGTAACAGATTCCACTCATGAAAACAGTGCAGACAAATATCAGCCAGCACATCCATGCCATCTGATCATGGTCTGCACTGTTAGCTATTCTATCAGTTCATATTATGAATTTTCCCGCCACAAATAGTTTTGACCAGATTGAACAATCCATTTAAAGCTACATGCCTCCAGATGAGTCAAAATATTTCAATAAAATCAAACTTGAGAAAAATGTACTAAGATGTAAGGAAAAGTAAAAAGTTTCAAGATTCAAGTAATATTTTACATATTATGTGCGATTAATGACTGATTTTTCAGTATTTACAACTATATTTCTACTGCGTTACTAACGCAGTAAAGGCTATTTATGCATATTTTGACAACTTTTTGGTAATTTACATGGTTTGTAAGTGCCATTGATAATATGTAAATTGCTTCCTTTTGGTTAATTCACAATATTACACATTCAAACACATTTTCAAAATTTTCATGAAAATTGGCATGAATCTGGAGGCTTGCTGCTTTAAATGTTTAGCATTATAATGGTTAAGAATAGGATATTTCTATTAATATGGTCCCCTTCTTTAAACCTTTAATAATTAGTTTGCAACTATTCAAATACTCTTCCAATTTGATTACTCCAAAATACCTAAAATAAATCTACCAGCATCATGTACATAAAGATGTGGGAGTCTTTCTTTTTAAATGACCCTGCTAAAGAAATGATAAAACATATAAGTTGTTTGATCGGAATGTAAAGTGAACACATATTTTTGGATGGGTAACAAAATCAATGCAATGGCAAAATGACTGAATATGAAAATACCATAACACATATAGGTATAAATAGTTTCCAAGCAGATAACTTTCACAACTTTTGTTCCAATTAAACTTCAATAAAATTTAACTTTAATAAATGGAAAATAAACTTTCTTTTCAATGTGGAAGGGCTTTTTAGCCTACCCAGCACTTTTATGATTAATACATGTGCATGGATTTATAAATAACCATTCACCTTCTATCATATTAACATTATAAAGCTTAAATAGAATTGCCAAACTTATATAATATACACACAAAAATACAATTTCAAATACCATAATTTCTAGTAATTGTATGCTACGATTACCATGATTTATAATATGCTAACATTTTCATAGAAAATATCATTATCTATATCTATTATTCAACAATTAAAAAGCAAATTGTTCCCTTAATGTATACAAAATACCAATATATCAAAGCCAACATAATTACATGTACAAGTACCATACATTTTCTAATTAACGCCTCTCCCCTAATAAACACCATTCCCTTTTGACAGAGAACCGAGTTACCAAGGTGACAGTTTTTATTATTAAACCAGAAAAAAACTTCACAGATTTGTATAATATTATGTAATTCAGAGGAAAATAACACAAAAATACTTAATTTCGACATTATTCAACATTTTTTGTACTTTTAATTAATAACCCAACCAACTTTTGGAAAATGTATAGCCCAATGTGTGTTAATTAAGGAATGTATGGTAGGAATTCTTAAAAATATGCATTGAACAAGTACATGTAATTCATATCATAACAGTTCATAAATGACATATTATTAATTATTACATTTTACAGTGATATCCTTTGAAATAACATAATTTTTCCCACTCAAGATAACTTTATGACCTTTTTTGTAACCTCAAAAACGCCATCATTTCAAACATTTATCAAATACAAAAACATTTAACCTTAACATTTGTTTGTACATTGTACTTGTTTTCAAAATATCTTAATATGCACTTTATGGTTACAAATATATGAAGAAATCAATATGAAAGCTTTAAACCTTCTAGAAACTTACCCATACCTTTATTTCTTAAACTAACCAATAAAAAGTTATTTTACCAAAAACATACAAACATAACACAAAAACAATATTCTCTAAGAAAATGATTAAAACATGTTTATTATGATCAGATAGGAAATGAATAGGACTGAATAGAAACTTAATATAGGCAAGTCATTCAGGTGAAAGTTTAGAGTAGGTGTGAATTGTACCTAAATATGGGCAAGTCATTTAGGGGCAAGTCAATAAGGTGTGATTTGTCATTAAAAGAGGGGCAAGACATTTAGGGGCAAATTGTGAGTAGGTTGAATTGTCATTGAAAGAGGGGCAAGACATTCAGGGCAAATTGTAAGTGGGTTGAATTGTCATTAAAAGAGGGGCAAGTCATTCAGGGGCAAATTGTGAGTGGGGTACATTGTCATTGAAAGAGGGGAAAGTCAATCAGGGGCAAATTGTGAGTGGGTTGAATTGTCATTAAAAGAGGGGCAAGTCATTCAGGATTAAATTTATAGTGAGATGAATTGTACTTAAATATGGGCAAATCTTTAAGGGGTAAATTGTGGGGCAAGTCATTTACGGGCAAATTGTAAGTGGGGTGAATTGTCATTGAAAGAGGGGCAAGACATTCAGGGGTAAATTTGAATAGGGTGACTTGAAATTGAAAGAATGGCAAATTGTGGGGGCAAGTCATTCAGGGTCAAATTGTGGGGCAAGTCATTAAGGGGCAAATTGAAAGTGGGGTAATTTTCCATCAAAATAGTCATTTAATTTCATGGCAATAATTTATCATTACTAATATATTTCACAGAGTGAACACCATCATGTAATAATTTCATAAGAGACATAGCCACAAGTGAAAGCAGCTAGTGTTAATGAGACTTAAACAATCTAAAATGCAAAACACACAAATTTTACGACTGCTTCATGCTCTTTTTTATAATTTTATGTCACATTTACTGATTTTTGCTGTATTACGTGACATCATCAAATAATGATAGCAGCTTACGTTAATAAATAATTCTGCAAAAAAATACTCTACTTTTGTTAGAATTTAATATGACATGTACAAACCAGAAATCATGTACAATGTACATGTACTTACAGTGGAGTGTATTCCTAACAATATCTCAATTCATTTATTAATATAATGATAAATTGTTTTTCATACTAATTTAAGCATGGTTTGTCTGCAGTGAAATATCATTTTTATCAAAACATAATTTCACTTTCTTTATTCTTTATTTATGAAAAGGATGTAATAAATTACAGCATATGACATAATGTAACCACAATGGAGCATATTTTATATGACAAGGCATAACCACAATGGAGCATGTTTAATATGAAATGATTTAACTACAATGGAACATATTTAATTTGACATGATGTAACCACAATGAAAAATGATTTATTATCACAATTAATACATGAATATGTGAAATGAGACATTTAAATGTTGTTATCAGCATTGTTATTACTTTTTCCTTTTTTGCATAATCTTATTTATGTTAAAGTAAATATTTTTTGCTGTTTTATTCCTTTTTTGTATAAAATATAGTGACCCTATGTACATGTAAGACATATTTGCATAATTTAGTTTAACACTTAAAAGGAATTCTGGTCAACATTTTCTTGATTAAATATTTTGTTCTTTTTCAAAAATTAAAATTTTAAAAAAATAGTTTAAGTGACCACTGACAGCTAATACAAAACAAGTTTCACATAACTTTAGCCTGCATATCTGCAAAGCTGACCAAACTCTACACTAATGCTGACCATGTTAAAATTTTCATCACAATTTTAACAAAACTGAGAGTCAGCAGTTCCAAGAAATAGAAGCTAGTTATGTCTATTTTAATAAATTCAGCATGATCACCCTTAACCTGCAGAATTTTTGTATTGGATTTATCAAGCTTCGAATTTGAAACAGTCTACAGGATTTTATTATCAAAATAAAAAAAAAGATTGAGCTACCAGCAGTATAAAGATGGTAAGACTGCCCAGTGGTGGCAAGAGCTTATTTCAGTTTCAGTTCAATTTGGGTAAATTAGTATAAGGGTTTAACAATTACCTTATTCAAGTTTCCATATTTTGGACCCGCATTGTTTATTTACTATAGAGTCTAGTAATAAATATGTGTGTAGATTATGAATACATGTTTAAAGTGATAGTGGATTAACATAATATTTAAGTCAGACAAATTTTAACAATCCAAATAGCTCACTTTGAACAGTTCCTTCTCTTATAAGCTTTAGAAAGGCACTAAAATATCATTTCTGTTGTGTACATGTCTTTTTCTTTTTGATTATAAAATAAATTCCTTTTTTTTTTCTCCCAACAAAGTCTTATTCAAATCTTCAGCGTTATGGTGGTCACTTAAGTGATTGCAATATTATTTTTAGCGAAACTTGTATCACAGTGGTCGGATATATCACTCAAAAAATTATCAGCACCTTTTGAAATATCAATAGTTTGCATATCAGTAACAGTCCCCTCTGTTTCAGACATACCAGTAGAGTCACCTATTCCAATATCAGAATTTTTCTGATTCAGAGAATGTTCTATTTCAATCTGAGAAATTTCGGAAGACTCCTCAGAACACACTTTATCGATTTCTGAATAATCCTTTGCAATTTCAGAATTATCTTTTTCAATTTCGGAATGATCTTTTTCAATATCAGAATTATCTTTTTCAATTTCGGAATGATCTTTTGCAATTTCAGAATTATCTTTTTCAATTTCGGAATGATCTTCTGCAATATCAGAATTATCTTTCACAACTTCTGAATCTGTTGCAATTTCGGAATGCTTTAATGTGTTATCTACATCTGTTATATTTTCATTAGTGTTAATTGAATTCTCAGTATTCTCTATTGTCTTTTCTGTAACATTTATTACAATTTCTTCTGTTGCATCTATCATATTTTCTGTCTTCTCATTTGCATTTTCTTCTGTATCAGCACCTTTATCTTTTGTGTTATCTATAGGCTCAGTTGTGTTTTCTTGTAATTCACTTGTTTTTTCACCACTTCCATCTATGTTCTTATCAAATGCATTTGTTTTATTATTAGAACTTTCACTAATAACACACAGGCTAGACTTTCGTCTCACTCCTTTCTTGGACCCTTTCCTCTCTACTGATCTTTCCTCTTTTTCTTTAGCATTATTTTTACTCTCTTTAGTAGCTGCCTTAGACATTGCACTTGCCTTTAAATCCTTGTAAAATGTCACAGCATCTCCTTGAAGCTCTAATGGTAACTTCATGCCATGCTCTATGTGCAGAAGAAGATTCTCTGACCAAAGGTTAACTTTCTCAAATGATGGTCTGAAATTATATACATTGTACATAAAAAGAAAATATTCGACCTATGTTATGGTGCGATGATGAAGAATATCAATTTAGATAACAGCATTAAATGAACATTGTGATATTTGTCTCATGGCATAGAGAGCATAACTTATCACCAATCAGTGGACTGTTATTAAATTCAGACTTTACCATAGTTTTGATATTTTATTATAAACATGAATCAAATTGATTAAAACTTTCAAAGTTACAATAAAATATGATAACTAATTGTCTAAGGATACACACATGGATGGACATTAAGCGCAAATTTCAATACGTCCTTACAGTAAATCAGGCAATAAGAAAATGTACTATTCAAAAAATATTTTTAAAATGTTACCTATTCTCTGGCACCATCTGAGCACAAATGACGGCTAACTTCAAGAGACCATTTGGACAATCTTTACAGAACTTCTCCTTGAACGCTTCAACATTGAGACCAAAATCATAACTCCTTGGTAAAATGTCCGGATCAGCATAAACCTGACCAATTATCTAATAATGTACAAGGACAAGTGCTTTTATTCAAATAGAAAGAAACCTTTACAAATAATGTCTGAATATTCGGTAGAATCAATATCTAACTAATAACCTGTATGTCCTGTGTATTTATCAAATTTTGGTGCCAAAGTGATGGTTTCTGAAGTATACCCTCCAGATCATCAGAGTATTTGCCACTTTGAATTTACCACAGCACAGTTCAGCAATCAAATTTTTGGAGTCTGACATATTAGACTTTAATAAAGAGGAATATGTACCAGTAATATCAAGAGTATGTAAATAAATGTACTTGGTAATGAAATATCTTAACAACCCAAAGTGATGTATACAACATTGAAAACCATGCACAAACAATTTAGATTGCTAAAAATATAATACAAATGTACTTGTATACTACAAGTACTTACTATATGTAACTGACATGTTGACATGATGTTGTCACATGAATTCATAATTGCATAGTACTTAATTGAAGTATTTTAAGTATTCACAACATTTCGTGCTAATCATCTCTTTTGTCTGGGTGCTACAATTATTTACTTTCTTCCGTATTGTGTCAAAATAACACTACTTATTATAATTTTCAAAACTTTATTATTTTACTCAAAGAATAATATGTAACAACCCTTAATGTATCTTTTATGAAGCATTGATTGGCACTTATATTAGGCCATTAATTGGCACATATATTATATTAGGAATATCAATTAGCACTTATATAGGGACATTATTCATCAGCCAGAGATATGAATGCCTTCTTCACATGCAATCTGTTGTTAAATTAACTTTGCTTTACAGTTAATTATTTGCACAACACAACTATTCAGACCTCTAAACAATGTATGGCACACTAACATATTTTAGTTTATAAGACAATCACATCTTTACTGGGTACAGAAAAACCTATGCATTATAATTTAACCCTTACCCTGCTGAATTTCTTAAATGGACTTTTCCAATTTCCATTTTTGAACAGTCCATTATTAATTTTAGGTATATCAAGGTGAGAATTTGAAGTTGGCCAGCCAACAGTATAGAGCCTAGTCAGACTGCACGGATCTGCAGGCAGGCCTTGCTCCATACTGGTGGCATAGACTATTCACTTTTGTCTTCCGCAAGGTAAAGTTTAAGGTATTTGCAAGCACCAGAGTAGAACCACCCGTCTGGAAAGCTAGATGATTATTTCATTGTTTTAAATCAACATACCTCGCATAAAACTATTCCAAATGAGAAAACATCTACTTTTTCATCATATTTGTGCCCATTTATCATCTCCGGAGCCATCCAAAATGGATTTCCTACCACTGTGTATCGCTTCTTCCTCTGATATCGCCGTTTCCCGGCACCTTTTACCGGAGACGGTGTTTTAGGAGGTTGACGGAACAAGTCATGGTCAGATATAACTCTAGCCAAACCGAAATCTGCTACTACCACAGTTTGATCCTGAATGGTAAGTTATAAATATTATAGTAACATGTTTAACATACCAGTATAATAATATAAAAAAACATTTTAAAGTTTATGATTCACAACTTGAGTCAGATGTGCAGCCAGACTGAGTATCGAAACTGCAAGGTCTGGATTTGAGTGTAGGACAAAAACGCTCCCATCCAAAAATGACAAGGCAGACAAAAGCCTTATTTGATTACCTCACTTGCATTACAAAGGTAAAATGATTTATAAAGGTGACCTGATTGAGCCTGTTCATGGACGGTACTGGAAAGTGCAAGTTACTGTCCACACCCCCTAGCACTGTCTTAAGCAGAATTCAACATTTAAACATGAAAATGGTGAAATTTGGACTTTATAAACATCAGCTGATGTGTTCATACAGTGCTATTCATGGAACCTTCAATGTGACACTTTCTTGCCATTCCATGAAAAGCGGCATATTAGTCCCCAAGTAAAAGAAAGTGTGTGCCCTAAACAAGAAAACAATGTACAGCAAAACCTCTGCAGAGCAACATCATGTGGGAGACAAATATTTGTTGCCGAGAGGTTTTACTCTGGAGAGATCAAATTTATTATTATGAAGTCTTAAATTATGGAGGAATCGTTCTGTTGTTCCAGAGGTTATTGCTCCAGAGAGGGCTGCTTTGCAGGGATTTCACGGTAACTCAAGTTTCATCTTAGTAAGTATATACCATTTTAGGCAGCTACCCAATATATTCAAATATCTCTTCAAATTCAGCTATAAAGCAGTCAATACATTTTCCAATTAAGACTGCAATTATTTCTAGACAATGAAATGTAAATACTGCAAACAAATGTCTACCAAATAAGTCTGGTAACCATATGTAAATCAATAAACCCATAATGTCACACATACTGTCCAAGAGATTTTTACTGTTTTATTGAACCATCAATGGTAACAAGAACAAAATCCAAATAAATTTAAGCATTGTTTATCAAGACTGTCATGATCACACCACTCACATAAGTGTATAATGCATTAAAACCAATTCATAAGAAAACCAAGTGCACTGAAAAACTCTTGTAGGAAAGGGAAAAATCACAATGCACAGTGTCATTATTAAATGTATTATTTGAGTAGTATACAAAATGTGCTAAGATATCTCACTGATACTGCAAAGGTCATTCAAGGTCACACTTTCAAGGTCATTCAAGGTCGGGAACAATTATAATGTATGTCTCTTTTGTTCATTTTCTAAAATAAAATTAGCACCTTGGTAGAAGCACCACTCTTAAATCAGCTCACTTATTATTTTTCAAAAAATATATAAAGAATTCAGACCAACAATGGTGAAATACAATGCTTAAAGTTATTTGAAAGTTATGAGATATTAAATGAAAACTTAAGTGTTAGGTTTTAATTGATATCTGTTCCTGTTAAAAAATAATAATTTTACAGTGTTAGGTATTACATAAATTAGAACAAATCACTTTATTTATTTCATAATATCAAACAGAACACCAGTGCAGAACTTCAAAACAGTGTATACAACTTACTCATACAGGCATCCAGATAAAAATGCTGCAGTGAAAAATAATCTTAAATCTTGCTTTACTTAGGGGCTGTAACTCATGATTAAGTTTGAATAATTATTATACATGTATATAAACAAACTTTTATGTGCTGAAATACTACTTTGGGCTGATTACCATTAAGTACAGATTCCCATTTAAAAATCTACTTTATAAAGTAAATCAGGGGCATTAACTCAATATTTGCACAAAATAAAGAGGAACCACTCTGTGCCAATAAAAAAAATACTTACTGCACGACAAAGACAATTATTTGAGTTGAGATCACGATGTATTATGTCCATTGAGTGTAAATATGCCTGAAAAAGTAATTAATGCATTTATAAAATAACTAAGATGGATAATCCAAAAGCTGATAATCAATAAAAAACAAGATTGCATTTGAGAAAAATGCTATGCCACTGCATGGTTCAAATTTCATAGCTGTACATCAAAGGACAAGAAAGTAGGTCACATCATCAAAATCTAGGTCAAAGTTTACAACTAAAACTGTGCACATGGTCTAAATGTCATTGCTGTACATCAAAGGACAAGAAAGTAGGTCACTGTCTCCTTGGGCAAGGCATAAATTTGACCCAAGGGTTTAATAACAATCTTGATACAGGTTCACCAAACAACATTTCAAGTCAAATATTTAAGCTATAGCTTTCTCCTATTCAGAAAACATTTGTTTTATTTTCTGTTTTTAATACGTGTACATAATGAGAATCACTGCCCCCGGGCAGGGCCAATTTTTGACATTTGAACAACTTTGGTAGAGGACTTATAGATGATATAATATATCAAACATCAAAGCTCTATGCCTTGAACCTTCAGACAAAAATAAAAAAAAAATTTCACTATATGTACATAATGAAAATCAATGACCCCCGGGGCGGAACCAATTTTGACCCCAGGGCTATAATTTGAACAATCTTGCTAGAGGTTCGCTACACAATGTTTCATGCAAAATATCTTAACTCTATCCTTTGTAAATTTAGAGAAGATGATTTTTTAAGTTTTAACTATATACATATAAGATAAACCTATGGCTCCCAGGGGCGGGGCTAATTTTGATACAAGAGGCAAAATTTGAACAACTTTGGAAGAGTACCTTTAGATGATATTATTTAACAAATATTAAAGCTCTAAGCCTTGTACCTTCAGACAATAAGATTTTTTGATTTTTTACTATATGTATATATTAAAATCAATGACCCCCAGGGCGGGGGAAATTTTGACCCCAGGGCTATAATTTGAACAATCTTGCTAGAGGTTTACAACACAATGTTTCATGCAAAATATCTAACCTCTAGCATTTGTCAATTGCTAGAAGAATTTTTTTAAGTTTTTACTATATACATATAAGGAAAACCAATGACCCCTGGGGCGGGGCCGATTTTGACCCCAGGGCTATAATTTGAACAATCTGGGTAGAGGTCTACCAGACAATGCCTTATGCAAAATATCTAAGCTCTAGGCCTTTTAAGTCTTTACAAGAAGGTGTTTTAAGTTTTTACTATACGAGGGTTGTTCGGAAAGTTTTGAGACTGGGTCAATATTTAGCGTTGGAAAAGATAAAATCAAACAAGAGTTTACTATGTATTACTTTAATACCTCATCTATTATAGTGTAAAATTTCATAACAATAGCTTCATGTATACAAAAGCTACAAAGCGTTAGGCACAGACACTACCGGTGACCCGGCGCACGCAACGACATTATCCGACGTTGCCGTTATTTCCAGAGTTTAACGTCACCGTAGAAAAGTCAACTGCTACTCCTTTTCAAAGTATCTTCCTTCACAACGTACACATTTCTCATGCCTCGTAACCCACTTGGCGAATACATTTCTATACCTGTCAGATTTAAATGTTGCAATAATGCTCATATCTCTAGAGCGCAGTTCAACTAGGTCCTCAAACCGGATTCCTCGTGCAAGTGTCAGTTTATCGTCGATGACGGATGGGCGACCGCTCCTTTCCTTGTCTTTTGTTGACTTTCTGCCATCCCGAAACTCTTTATGCCATCTAAATACCAATGGTCGACTAACAGTACGTCCGTTGTTTGCCTGTTCTAGAAGTTGCTTAGTTTCTGTTGGCGTTTTCCCAAGATTAACGCAAAACTTAATAAAAACACGCTGTTCCTCTTTTGACAGTGTTTCCATAGTCGTTGTCTTGTCGCGCACGTATTGCTATAATGATCTGCGGTAACGGCTTAAACAACTAGCGGAAATGACGTCCTTAAGGTAGCTCGCTACTTTCCGACCGAAATATGACAACATCTCAGATCTTGATGATTTTTGGTATGCAAACATATAAATATGTGAGCTTTACTTCTGCAGTATTATTTTATAAATAAACAGCGTTACTCTGACGTCAAAGCGCCCTCTATCGGTGGCGGTGAAATTGCGTCTTTTTATCAATAAACCGGTCTGTTCTTATCAATTGTCATCCGATTTCCTTCATTTTAATATCATAATGTTCAGTAAATGTATGTCTTTGTAATGATGTCTTTCTTGAACATTTACTTAATAGTCTGCGATTTTACGTCATTTTTCTCTACGTTCTGACGTCCATACTTTATGCAAATATCGCGCGATATCGCATTAAAGATTGTGTAATAAAAAAAATTCAACACGGTGAATTTTGCTATAATTTTCCGAGCGTGTAGTGAGATAGTGAAGGAAAATATTTATGCAATAAAAATATAGGGTCAACGCGTAAGATATTTTGCTATTATGGTTTTAAAATAAAATAAGGGTGAGTGAAACGTTATGATTTTGGTTACGTTAATAGTTGTTGGAGTTCAAAGAATAATACCAAATAACAATTTTCTTACGTCAAACATTACGATAGGAAGTATAAACAACACAGGGAATTGATGAAATGTATATTTTTTAAATTGTTGATTATTTTCTCATTGAAAGCATGCGCTAGATGAGCACATTTACAATGTTTAATCCGACAATCCCTTTTTTAAATACTTTTCTAATTTGCAGGACACAGTCTCATACATCTTTTAATTCTAATTTTATAATGTGATGTTGTTAAAGTGTTATATTATTATATTAATTAACTAGTTTTAGCGCAAAAAATAACATTCACATATTGCCGTAGAATATTTATTTTACGTTACATTCAGCCTTTAAACACTTTCATAAAATCACATAAAGGCAGACGAGCCTCGGTGACATACACATCGTAAAAATACAATTAAAATAGATATGCATACAAATGTGCCGAAATAAGTGATAAATAAATTTCAGAAATAATATTCAAATATGTTAAAGGGACTCCACTGAGGTATTTTGACATGATGGAACTGAAAATATTTTTTCCAGATAAATGAACCATTTGATGTAGGTTTACACCACGAATCTTTGTGCAAAATTTCAGAGCATTCGCGCACTTCGTTTTTCCAGAATAATTATTCAAAATGAAAGCGCTTAAACGCTTTTCACCCAAATCGGGCTAACAAAAGCATAAAAATACGATTTTCAATTTATTTCAAAGTATATTTCTTAACTATCTTCGCATATATTTCTGTTTAAAGTGCCCAGCTCATTTATGTAAGAAATTAAAATGTTATGTGTTTGGCTTTTCAACCTCAGTGGAGTCCCTTTAAGAATATTTAAAAACAAACTGTACAAGACACAAAAACCTTTATTTTATTTTTATTTTTGCTTACCATTTTTAAGTCTGTGCAATACATAGATTATATAATTATAATCTAATTAAAATGTCATGATAATTAGAAAATGAGCACTTATGTGACAAACTATAAACTATTTTGGAAGCAAAATCATACTGAATAAAAAATATATATAAGCATATTCTCAACTGCAGACTCGAATGTGAAACACCCAATACAACCATTACTCAACTCGGATTCATTACCGTTTTTTCATTACTGTACAGTATAACATAGCGGCCCTCAAAGTATTATTTATTTCTAAAGAGTTCCACTACATTTTACCTCTGTAGAGCAACCACTCTAGGCAACAAAGGGCATTTCTCTGTAAAGGTTAAACTGTATATTTTGATTAAATACAAAATATAATTATTAAATAACTTGTGCAACTGTTACCACTGAATACGAATAATGTATTATGTTGACGTTATCTTGTTCATTTTTTAATACAATACAGTTTGCTTAAAAACAAAAATATAAAAACAAGAAAAAAAAAAACAACCTCAAAACACACACCAACAAAACGTGTAACTTATGATGTTAGCAATAAAATGGACTTCTCCCTTATTAACGGAGATCATAATCAGTTTTTTTTTACTTTGAATATTCTTCTGTTGCCACGTTGTAATCGGTAAAGTGGTCTTACGCTGAATTAGAGACACGATTGCGTATTGTTCTAATAGATTATCCTTTAGAATTGTTTACTGTGTATGAAATGTTTCAAGGTCCACCTCGGACTGCTGTCATTCATTTTCAAAGAGAAGTTGATACTGTGAGAAACACTGGTTTCGTTAAACTCCCTCCGCTTTAATTGAAATACTGTTGAAAGCGGCGTTAAACCCAATATTAAAACATAAGAAGATATAAAACATAAAATTCATAGTTCATTATTTTCATAGGCTCTACATAGCACTGCATTATGTGCAGACAAAAAACGAGCTTCTCCCACAACCATAATCACACAAATTGAGGATCCTACATGTACGTCTTCAATACAAGGGAATCTGTATTTAATATGCAAAATTCTTCGCTTCTGAACATACAAAATAAATCAACGGAACTTTCGCCTCTAATCGAGAAATGATCGCGGCTTCAGGTCGCCTCAAAGATGCGCTAGTAAACGCATACCGCGAGTCAGCTAGTTTAAAATAAATAAGAATATCTGTAATTATGTGAAATACGTGAAAAATTAAAGCCATAGCACGAGAGCGTGATTCCTGCTTTAAATCTGAGTCACACGCTTAGTGCAGGGTATTTAGCTGCGAGATAAAATAGAATAACTGATGGCTGTTAATAAATAAATTTTTATACGTGTAGAAAATTTTTGAATAAAATGTCTGCTAGATTTTATAATATAATTAAGACTACCAGTGAATCATGGATTACGTACAAATCGTTGCTACTTCCAGTTGATCATATATTTTTGAAACGTAAATTTGATTCATTTCCTACCACAGACATAGATGTTATCTATGTCTCTGTTCCTACTAACTGATATATACAATTCAAAATTGTTACATATGATAACATGGAAGTTTATGTTGTACCGAGATACACATAGCATGATGACATTGCGACTGCACCAACCTTTTCATTCTTTTTTTCTGACATTCTTTGCAAAATTTATGTTTTTATAATTTCCACTTAATTATATCTTTCAATATTCTGAATTGTCTTTCAGTCCTCGAGGTATTTATATCCATTCGTTGCAGTTTTTCAGCGATTGATACCAACTTTTGCAGACAGTTATACCCTGATTTGTTGTACATGTATATAATTGAAGATATTCATCGAAATGCAGGCATCTGACAGGACTCTTAAAAGAACATTTTTACGGAACATGTCTTCAAACTATTGTTGTTGATGGTTTTCACACATTTTTATTCCTGTCAGTATGTTATTTATCGAAAAAGTCGCGCAAACTTTCTTGAGAAAAATATTTGACGTCACCAAAATCATTACGTTTTACTCACCCTTTATTTTATATTCAAATAGTAATAGCAAAATATCTTACGCGTTGACCCTATATTTTTATTGCATAAATATTTTCTTTTATGACTTCACTACATGTTAAAAAAATTAAAGCAAAATTCACCGTGTTGATTTTTTATTATTTCACAATCTTTATTGCGATATCGCGCGATATTTGCATCAAATATGGACGTCAGAACGTGAGGGAAAATAACGTAGAATCGCAGAGTATTAAGCAAATGTTCAAGAAAGACATCGTTACAAAGACATACATTTACTGAACATTATAAAATTAAAATGAAGGAAATCGGATGAAAATTGATAATAACAGACCGGTTTATTGATAAAAAAGACGCAATTTCGCCGCCACCGATAGAGGGCGCTTTGACGTCATAGTAACGCTGTTTATTTATAAAATAATGCTGCAGAAGTAAAGCTTACATATCTACATTTCTGTATACCAGAAATTATCAAGAAGTGAGATATTGTCAAATTTCGGTCGGAAAGTAGCGAGCTACCTTAAGTTGGAAGTGACGTCATAAAATTTTCGTGACGTTTGGCGCAATTTTAGGGGCTCTTTTTATTCAGTAAGAAAACTTATAACAAGAAAATAGTCCGTGCGCCAGGATGCGTAGACAGGTGTTGCTATGGAAACGATTATATGCCGTATAGTAACGTTACAACGTTTTAAAGACATAACTCGGATAAATAACATATTAAGCTATAATTTGTATTAAATAATATTCGCAGCTGTAATTAGAAACAGAGAAAATCATATTGTCTCAAAACTTTCCGAACAACCCTCGTATGTTCATATAGCGAAAATCAATGACCCCGGGGCGGGGCCGATTTTGACCCAAGGGCTATAATTTGAACAATCTTGGTAAGGGTCTACCAGATGATGCCTTATGCAAAATATCTAAGCTCGAGGCCTTTTGGGTTTTTACAAGAAGGTATTTAAAGTTTTTACTATATGTACATAGTGAAAATCAATGACCCCTGGGGCGGGGCCAATTTTGACCCCAGGGCTATAATTTGAACAATCTTGTTAGAGGTCTACCAGACAATGCCTTATGCAAAATATCTAAGCTCTAGGCCTTTTGGGTCTTTACAAGAAGATTTTTTAAATTTATTCTTATAATTCCTTTTGGTTGCCATGGCAACCAGATTTCTGCATGGAATGAAATTCTTTGAACAACTTTGAAAGCCCTTCACCCAAGGAACAATCCTGCCAAGTTTGGTTGAAATTGGACTAGTAGTTTTTCACAAGAAGATTTTTTAAGGTCAATCTCAAGGTCATATTTCAATGCACAAAGATAATAATCTCATCACCAAGATGTTGTATTCAAGTATTAAGGTTCTAGCCATTAGAATGAAGATGTTTCTGCCAAGGTAAAATTGTCTGAAGAGTGACAAACAGATGCCTGGGACAAAATCCTGCCCTAATACATATACATTCTATATCTCTCCATTCAAAGTCATAAAATGCAAACATCTTTCATCATATACATGTACATGTATTAGAAATACTTTAGTAAATTTTTAACCTACCATTCCAGATGAAATGTCCTTTGCCATGTTTACTTTCTGTAACCATGACAATGTTTTAGACTGGTCCTGTAGGAGATCTTTCAGTGTGCCGCCCTCTATAAACTCTGTGACAAGATTCAATTTCTTGTCTTTATACATCACACCAAGAAGTTTTAATACACTGGGATGATCTAAACTTCTTAACACAGAAACCTGCAAACAGAGAGATTCTCTTAACATGACTAAACCCATAATCTTCAGAATTTCTGTAATGTTTTTGCTCTGGTTATGGATACAGGAACAGTTCATTCAAAGTTAAAGGGATTTCAACATAAGAAAAAAACACAAATTTAGTTACTAACATTATACACTACAGCGTGTCAGACTTCACAGATGAGCAGGCTGGCCTGGCTCTATACTGGTAGCAAAGGGTGATAACCTTAAGAGTAAAAGATCCCATATTAACTATCAGCCTGACATTTCTTAAAAAAAACAAAAAAACATTCATTCAGAGAAGAAAAATTGGCAAAAAATGTAAGATATTTACTTGCATCCAGTGAAAATATTTCATGAACATTTGTTTGATTTATGGTGACAAACTGTTTCAAAGTATTTTATAAAGATAAACAATAAGTCTGAATTAGAAATAATTGTAGATGTGCCACAAAATTCCACACCTACAAACCAATCATCATTACTACTGACTTTATAAAGAAACATTCAAAATGCATACCTCTTTCAAGAAACTTTTTTGAGCATCTTCGTCAAAGCGATACAATTCTTTAAGCACCATCACCTCTCCTGTAAGTCTATGTGTGACCTTTACAGCCTGCCCAAAGAAACCTTTCCCCAGGATAGGGCCCGGAACAAGATCACTGGTGCGGAAAACACGATGTGTCTCTGGCATAGTGCGGAATGACTGAGCTCGGCTGAGGTCTACACTTTTTTGACGGGAAGCTGGCATGGGTGATGGAGACTTACTTCTTCTTCTAACATGACTTCTCCTTTAAAAAAAAAATATTTACACATTAAGGTACTTTAAAAACAAACATCTATTACTTAAAATGGCATTAAGGTACATTAAGGTAACAAACATCTACATCTATTACTTAAAAGGTATAACTTTCAAATTCAGAATCAAAGTATTTTCTTCCCCGCAGTCAGCAAATCTTCTTTCAGAGAAAATTTCATACCTTTTTTTTTCAATCGCACCTTTTCTTGATTTTTTTTTTTAAACATAAAATATTAATTTTGTACATTAAATTGTTAAGAAACACCATGAAAATAAAATGTCAACTTCCAAGAGCAACACAATACATACCTATGGCTACTTCCATTATCCTTTGGCCTCAGGAGAACTTTTGTTCCTTCCACTTGAACCGCATCAGGTGACGAAACTGACACTCTCTCCGTGTCCGATTCGGTGTCAGAACTGTATACTGGAGAACTTTGTTGTACAGGTAACGGTGAGGGATCTCGTTCAACCATAAGGTGTAAGGCTTCATTGGGGTTTTCCAGCACTGATTTAATTTCTTGAATATATTGATCTTTAACACTAAGGCCATTCACTTCAATGATTTGATCACCAATGCTTAAATCCAAGAGTTCCGGATTGCTATCAATCCTGTTTAAAAAAAAGAAAAATATAAATATATATGATATAACATTTTTTTCTACTTTAATTATGTATACATGTTATTCTTTTTGGTGCATAGAGAGAGCATGTGAAATTTATTTAGAGTTTTAAGTTCATGATTATATCTATTTTCGTAATAGAATACATATACATGGACATTTAAAACAACATGTACAGTACAAATATTTAACATACATCAGATTAAGTAAGCAATGATATGCACACCAGTACCAAGGATAGCACGGAAAAAAAAGAGAGACACTTATTTCCATTGTATCCCGTGTTATTCCATTGTTGTCAAAACATTTTTTTTTTTCATATACATGTATCATAATTGTCGCAATTGTCGCATAAAACAAATAATTTAGTAATAGAATATTTTAGAATGCACCCCTAGCAAACTAATTTTCTTTTCTGTACAAATTTATACTAATCCTTCCACAGCTAGGTGTTAATTGCATAATTACTGTTTATTTGTCAAGAAAATTTCCAAGAATTTCTGACAAAACAATTTTTTGCCATAGAAAATTCTTAGAAATATTGAATATTTTTATGTCAGAGAAATTTCTAAGAACTACTAGATTTTCTTTTACCAGAGAAAAATTTTTATTACTGGATTTTTGTTTAAGAAACTATGAATGCTTTTTTTAACAGTATAATTATATCCTTTTTTTTAATTCATGAAAGCATCTTGTTGAAAACAAGATGGTAAATAGAGGATATTAAACAAGTTCAGATTTATGAACAAGTTTCATAAAATGACCAAAGCATTGCATTATATTGTTATATTCAACGAGTCTAGTTTCAACAAATTTAATATTGAATCTACACCAATAATATTCTATTTATCACATATCCAAGTTAAGAACGGTTTCCTGTTAAAAAAGAGTCATTTTTCCTTGACGCCCCTATAGTGTAATGCTAACATTAGCACCCTTAAACACTATTTTACAATGTATATGTATATAACACAAATGATGTTATGTTAAAGAGTTATTACACCAGTGTAATATTGTTTTTATAAAATGACTATAACATTCCTGGGCTGTGGTTTATGTGATGAATCTAAATATGGTCTAGGAAAAAAATAATTTTTCCCTTGTTTTCTACCATAAATCACTTTTGACAAGATACAACATATTAACCAGAAATCAAATAATCTCAAATTTGTTACTGAAATGCTTTGAACTTCATTTAGTTACACAGATAATTTTCTTAGATTTTGTAAAATTCCTTGGTTTCCTATAAAAAAAACTTACTTTGAAATCTTTATTTGCGGAGAATTAATTCTGTTAGCAGACTGTCTCGTATAAAGTGTGTTCTTCTTCTCAATGTTAAAATGGAGGCCGCGAGGCCTGTCCGGGGTAGGCTGTACTTCTATCATTTGTATGGAATGTGGTTTCCGACGGCGACGAGGAGTCTCGGCTAGAATAGGTTTCATCTGTTGATTGTAACACATCCCACTGAAAAGATACACTTTAGATTATTACATTATCTAATTCCATTAGGAATATTATACTTCCTGGTTATAATACGAGTAGATGTCGAAGTTCTATACAAATTTGTATCAAATTTGTGAGAGATATGCGATACATGATCCATAAAATGCAATTTCTAGTCCAAACATTGAACATGTGATAGAATGTAATTAATTTGTTTAATCTTGCATCACAATGACATTGTTAAAGTCATAAGATTAAATTCCAGTATTACTGTTGGCAAAAAAAACCTTGCATTTTCCCACTTTGCATTATTTTTGGCAGACAATTCTGAATAGAACAACAAACCTTCTGCAAGCTAGCTGGATATTTAGTTTTCTCACACAAATTAGAGAATACAATGTATAGGGAAGTTTAAAAGTCATGTTTTCGGCACACAAAAAAACTAGAGTACATGTAATGGGAAATAAATATTATCTCAAATCATGACATTTTACAATAAATCCAACTTAAATATTTTACTATCTGGAAGTAAAAGTTAAGTACCACTATAGCATCCACTTCAAACAAGGAACAATAAAACTTCAAACTTTAAGATGAGTTAAAAAAGTTTAAAAATATTAAACTTTTTAAAATTTATTAAAGGCACATCAAGCCTCAGAAATGAATAAATATGATACATATGAGAAAGCTTAACTAAAGGCACAATTGTGATTTACAATACTTTAAGAATGGATTAAAGCGTGTTAGACACTTATCAAAGAAGGAAACAACATCAAATGTGAAATAGCTGAATGTGAAATATGAAGCAAAAAACAAGGCGTGATACTTTGTCTTTCACACAAATACTAAATTACTACAACTTTACTAATTAGAAAACAGCAAATACAGTTCCTTTAATATCCAGTGAATACCATTTCAGAAACTGTAATTGAACACCAAAAAGAAAAAGCTTCTGAGCAATAAAAATAAACAGAATTGTTTTGGGGGCTTACTGAGCCTTTAAGAAATGTTTTAACATTCACAATTCATAAAACACTTCATTGTTTTTTGTGTTCTTTTCTGCAGCCTGACCTGGCAACACAAATTCGTATTTTGCTTATGAAATCCCTTAAAACTGGAATGGGACTGTTCCATATTCAAAGCAGGGCAAATCCATTAGACATGGACAGCAAGTTATGGGTTTTAATATCAGACTATAAATATGCTGACATGATACCTTATCCACTTACTTTATACCAACACAAGGCTGACCAATCCTAAAAACAGTATATTAACCTGCTAGAAATTAACCTGTTTGCCACCAGTATAATGCCTGGTCAGCTTGCACACCCATGCAGTCTGACCAAGCCCTATACTGTTAAAAAGAAACTTTAAATTTTCATCTTAAAATCACCAGGTTAAGGGATCATGCCAAGCTTTACTAAGGTACAGTACACTCAGCGGGGATTTTGCTTATTTCATGATACCACAGTGGAAAACTTTTTCCTAACACGGACAAACGCAGTTGAGGTCCGCGATCTATATAATAATTATAGTACCATATTGTTTTTCATATACATGTATATCTGGTACTCGGCTAAGGTATGACCCAATCTGGAATCAAACCCTTGACTTCTCCACATTTAAGACAGAAAAACTACTATCATGCCATCATTGCCTAAACAATTTATACAGTAATCAATTACCAGAATAATTTTGATCTTTCAACGAGGGCATAATTCTCCCCATCTCCAATATATGTATGACACATGACACACTGAAAACATTCCGGGTGATACTTGTGCTCCCCAGCAACCTGAAATAAATTATACAAATGTGAAATAATATAACTAATAATCGGTAAATATGCTTTACAGTTTGTTTTTTATTTGACATAAAATGGTTAACTGATAAAATGCTAACCCCTCTTTGGATGCATTATCCCATGTGGGAATTCTGCTATTAACACCACTGCCTGGTATTTTCATATATTATCAATCTCTGTGGATGCATTATCCCATGTGGGAATTCTGCTACCACTACTGCCTGGTATTTTCATATATTATCATTATCTTTCAGACCACATAACACTTTTTACGTAACACAGTAATATTTTCTCAGATAACAGCAGACCAAATTGCCTTTTTTTCATTGTGTGACATCTGTCAATGATAAATCATTAAAACATCTATAATTACCATAAAATTATGGCTTTCTGACCAGACACCTTTTTATCATGAAAACTTGACACATGATACAAAACAGATAAGAGAATTTGAGACTGTGCTAACAACTCAATACTATAACAATAAGTGAACTACTCCTCTAAACAAACCCATGATTCCTGCAACATCATGTTACCATCTATCTATGTACAAAATGTGAGTATCTAATTCTTAAAAGTTGACTTGACTTACCATTACTGGTTCAGTGATAATTTCTGTACACTCGTTACATTGAAACTTAAGTAAAATTGATTTACCATTATTACTGGTCCAGTGATTATAAATTTCTGTACACCCATTACATTGAAACCTGAGTAAACTTGACTTACCATTACTGGTCCTGTGATAATTTCTGTACATCCATTACACGCCTCCCCAAAGGACTCCCAGTAGTCCTGTTTACAGAACAACTGGCCATGTTTCTCAAAGTACCAGTTAGAAAGACATTGTCCACATTTTGAGCACCTGAAAATCATGTGATAACAGATAAATTTGTTAGTTCAGGTTACCTAAGCTGTAGAATGTCCATGGTTTACCATGGATTTAGTATGGTCAACTGTCATGGAGTATTAAAACATCCATCCATGGACAAAATTTACCATCAATGGATAGTGCCCATGCTGTCCTAGGATACCTGATTATGGACAATGTCCATGGAGTGAATGGACAAGACCCATGCTTTCCATAGACATTGCCCACACTCTCCATGGGCAATATTTATTTTATCCATGAACAATGTCCATTCTCTCTATGGATAATGTCCATGCTATGTTAATTGCCTGAATTTAGGACTTTTTATTCAACACCTGACACACTCAGGTTTGCCATTAATGCTATAAAGGTCTACTTGTTTTTTGATTAAGTTTAATTCAACCTTTAATCTGTTTGGTAATGAATGTCAATTACCCTTTGTCATAAGGCTAATGCCAGGCTGGCCTTTATAGGCATCCATATAGTCTGACCAAGCTCTTTACTGTTGGTATCTCAAGTTTTGGTATTTTGATAGTTGAAATCCCTTTAACTTTGAATGGACTGTTCTAAAAAAAGCTGGGCAAGTCCATTACACAAACAAACAAGTTATGGGTTACTAGATATTATAAAGGCACAGAGATCATTGACAATGCATTATTTGTGGTAGAAGACACTCCATATTTACTGAATATGATATTCCAGATATGCTTTCTGCATAACAAATTTTGCTGTCAATATCAGATGGACATTTCAATCTGCAGTGTTAGAGAAAAAAGAAAATCCTTTAAAATGGATTGGTCTACAATGGGCACATTTTCCATCCATTAGTATTTCAAGTACAGTGTATCAAGGGGAGCAGTGGCCTAGTGGTTAAGGTGTCTGCCTCTCAACCCAGGGATTATGGGTTCGAGCCCCAATTGGGTCATGACCATGTTTCATCATATGACACCAGAACTGGTTGGTTCCAGGAAGTGGACTAGAAAGTGATAAATATAACTTGCAAGAACTTAATGTTTCGCAATCAAGCTTAAATAAATATGTTCAAACCATGATTTTGTTGATTAAAAAAAGAACTGTATCATTTTGAAATTCTTATATAAAATATTTGTTGAAAAAAGAAATGTTGACAAAGTTTCATGTGATTTAGTATGAATTCGTATGTGATGAGTAATAATATTTTGATCTGGAACAATTCACTATATATAGATATGTCATATCAGATCATGTATCTCACAGTCATAGCAACAACATCCATGTATAATACTTTTGCGGTTTGTTGTTCTCACAGTTAGTTGTTCTCACGTATGATATGTGATACTATCAACATATCTATTTATAGTATTATACAGACCTTCCATCACGGATCAACCCACTTTAACTAATATAATGAAGAAATAAGCCACAATATGTGACTATCAATAGCTTAACTTGCTCCCCTTTAATTAAAAGCACAGTATGCATCAGAAATAAATTCTTAATTTTTACTTTTTAAGAATTTTGGGCAACCATGTTTTTTTTGTTTTGTTTTTTGTTGTTTTTTTAATGAATGGTTTTAGAAATTGTTAGATGCTTGTTACAGTAAATTTAGTAGTGATCAAGTAAAATAATTTGGAAAAAAGTAGGAAAGTTAAACAAACTTCAAAATACTAATTCAATATAAATTTACTAACAGCCAAAAAGCAACAGATCAGCTAATTGACCAGTGAGTTAGGTTTTGGATACTATAAAAGTGCACAATAAAATTTTTGAGAAATTAAATAAAAGCATTTCTGAGACATAATGGGCCTTTAAAGTAACTAATTTGTGTTCAATTAGTCTTTCTGTATCATGCTTATCAGTGATTAAGGAGCAAAAAATAACAGTTACTAATGAACCCTATAAGATTGTTAAATGAACCGTCATTTCCTGAAAATTTCAAGTAAACAATTACGGTATAAGTGATAATCAATGTCACGGGAAAAACGTACTTAAAACAGTAGTACTTTATCATCTGATATAGAATTTGATTAAAAGTCTCTCTATTGCCAAAATATAATTTTGTAAACATATTGACATGGTCTGTACAAATAAATATATCAGTACAAGTTAATGTATGTAGTAATTATTATACATTTATCTGTAACAATTTGTTGTTTAGAGGGGGTCTTTAACATTTTTTTTAATGTTAGCATTTATAACAATTACTCAGTAATGAGCCATGGTTTGTACACTGTTCCATGCAGCAAATCCTATAATATTCACTGATTGAAATTAGCTACTTTAAAAAAATACCAAAAAAAAAACCCTTTTATTTATATTGAAATGATATATTTATTTATATCTTAACTTTAAAAGCACATTAAGTAGTTTCTGTTTTTTACAACATTTTTTCCCCATTCCAACACTATTGATGGCCTTCCAAAAATGTAGATGAATACATCATGATCAATCAAATTAAGTAAGTGTATTTTTCAGCAGTTTTGGGGCCCAAATAAGGCTCCTTTGGACTCATTCATTAGACAAAAAGTATCTTTATTTCACAACTGTTTAATAAAAAAAATCAAAATGTGATATTGTAGTCATTAAATTACATTGTATTATGAATGCAGGCATTTTCCAAGACATGATTTAAATAAAACTTTTTTAACTGTTAAAATAGATGAATTTTAAGAGTATAAAACAGGACAATAATTACAAATAATTGCATTACAGCATTAGTATAACAATTCAAAGGTTCCCTGAGTCCCATTCACAAAATACAGGAAAAAAATCACTGTTGAGGACCTTGTACATCTGCTTACTAATTTAGGTGATCTAATTCATACATGTAATCAAAGGAAGCGTAACATACACAAACTAGTCATCAATTTCATTAATCAAAAGGAAATTATTACAAACTTGCACGCCTTAATCATTTACAAGGAAATAATTGATTTCTTCCATTTAGATATGTCCCAATTTAGATATGGTATGATTTAGATATGTCACAATTTAAATATGTTTTGTTTTAAATAATGTCACAATTTAAAATGGTGTGAGTGATAATAATATTGTCACAATTTAGATATGGTATGTTTTATATAAGTCACAATTTAAATATGATATGATTTAGATAATGTCACAATTTAAATATGGTACGATATAATGTCACAATTTAGATATTGTATGATTTAAATAATGTCACAGTTTGGATATGGTATGATTTAGATGATGTCCCAATTTTAGATATGGCATGATTTAGATAATGTCACAATTTAAATATGGTATGATATATATGTCACAATTTAGATATTGTATGATTTAAATAATGTCACAGTTTGGATATGGTATGATTTAGATGATGTCCCAATTTTAGATATGGCATGATTTAGATAATGTCACAATTTAAATATGGTATGATATATATGTCACAATTTAGATATTGTATGATTTAAATAATGTCACAGTTTGGATATGGTATGATTTAGATGATGTCCCAATTTTAGATATGGCATGATTTAGATAATGTCACAATTAAGATTTGGTAACATATGATTTAGATGTTACAATTAAGATATGGTGTGATTTAGATATGTCACAATTTGGATGTAGATAATGTCACAATTTGGTTATGGTATGATTAAAATAATGTCACAATTTGAATATGGTATTGTCTTTATGTCACAATTTAGATATGGTTTGATTTAGATAATGTTACAATTTTGATATTGTATGCTTTACAAATAAGATATGGTATTATTTTGATGTCACAATGTAAATATGATATTATTTATGTCACAATTAAGATATAATATGATTTAGATAATGTCACAATAACTTGCAAATAGTCATAACTTCATACTTACATCTTCATAAACACACGCATCACAGAAAAAATATAGTAATCCATATTGTATAATATAAGATGAAAATCTGCCCCGTATTAATCACAAGACCAAACAATCAATAGCGAATTTCACATGATGTTTAGAATAACAGACCATACATTGTTTGTTGACATCAAATCCATTTGAAAGTGCTATAGTCAGGAAAATCAATGACTCATGCTTCCTTATGACAGAGTCATTTTACGCTTGCAAATTGGTCGCCTTTGTGAATTACATAGCAATCACGAGTAAACAATTAAATGCCAGTAACAGATTACAATCAACACAATATCCCTGTATTGTTCTACAAAATTTTTTTTTTTTTCCGCTTAAGAATGAATTTGAGCTTTTTCTAAGGGAAAAAAATTCAAATATATTGCATGTATTTTTAAAAAAAAACATAATTATTAAACTTTAAAATTTTTAAACTTTTTTTTTCTTCTGAATTTCAGATTCCCAAAGCAAGATAAAACCCAATTTTTTAATCCAATACAAAAACCGACGTATTCCCATATTTTAGGGTTTAAGACAATAAAACCCCCAATCAATATTTTATTTTAATTCCAGCTTCGTATTGTAATCCCTCCTACAAAAAAGCAACCTTGCTCTAATCTGCTCCCCTATGACTACTATAAATAGTACAGTACTACAAGAAGCGTGGCATTTCTGCCGGGGACATTGATGGCAGACAATCAATAGTGGGCCGGTAGCCAATATTTGCTGATATTTGCCAATAGTACAGATGTTGCTCATTGATCAAACATAAACTCAGTCGGGAAAAGACATTTAAAGCTATCAAATGTAAAAAAATTTTCAAAGGGTTTATTAGAAGGAAGTTGTATCTGCTTAATATTGACAAAATTTATGCATGAGCGAATGTAGATTAATCTGAGGGGAAAGGGATGGGAATGATCATATGTTGGATTTTAAAAAAATCACTATGGTTTTTTTATTTTTACGAAGATCAATATGACAGGGCCTAGGACCCAGCTGGCACAACACCCTTGTATCCAATAAACAAGGGGCAGCAGCAGCAGTGTTTTACAATTCACTCTCTCACATTAAAACATAAATTATGTAACCACAGCCTCCATCATGTCAAGTATTATGAATTTAAATTTCATATTTCAATGTTCATTTTTTTTATTGGCGACGCCGGTGAGCGGCGTCGTCTTTTATGGAATGCTTTTTATTTTGGCCTATGGAAGGAGCTGTTATTATTAGCAGTTAATTTCATGTTGTGTTAATTAGATTTATTTTGATTCGTAAAAATCAAGTAAACAAATATGTTTACTAATTTGTATTTAATAACTTTATATAAAAAGCATGTGCATTGTGATATTATTTTCACGAAATTGCAGGCTCAGATTAACAGCTTGTCCCTTTGTTTTATTGACGATACTAAAACCCAGATTTCGAATATCGTTGTGGTCTACATTGATGCTCATTCATTTATATATTTTTAAAACTTTCCTACAAGAAGAAAGTTCACCTGCAAATGAGTATTAGGATAGGTAATGGACTGTTGTAAACGATTATCCTATTGATTTTATCCATATTACGTTTATCTGTTGAACAGAATGGTTGTTTTTACAAAGTGTACCAGTATCCGGATGTTGATAGCTATCCGATTTTCTGCAGTTACTGCTGTCACATGGCCATCTACTTTTTTATGAATACTTTACCATTAATTTGCATGGCATAATTAAAATGAGCCTGCTACATTTCTTAATTTTGATGTTTAGGGTGTTCTTTTGGGTTTCATGTTTTCTTTATTTCAAGGGGAAGTAACTCATGTTTACTATATTATTTGTTCTTTTCTATCTTAGGTATTACTTACAATTTTTGTTTTATAAAATTTACCAGTTGTAAGGTCATCAAAAGCAAAGAGGCCCTGATGAGTGAATATTGATATATATATACTTTTACTGGCTTTATATACCCAATATTTCATATTTATTTAATAGAAACTTGGAATTATTAATGTTATGTGCATACATTTATATCTTAGTATATTGGTATGATGAGACTTATAATATTTCTGAATTTAAAGAGTTGCAGTTATGTCATTATTATTAAAGGGATGAGACTTTCATTTAAAGTTATAAATGATAATACATGTATTGATTGAAAATGTCCTGAAATTGGATCAAGCAAATAATTGATAAAGCCTCAAAAAATCATGTTCTGAATAGTTATTCTAATTTTTTTCTAACATGTGCATAGTTTGAAAAGGACAGCTTCTGTCTTATCTATTTGTAATGGAGGGACATCGGTCTCAACTTCCAGGTCTCCTGAGTCAACCCGACTACAGACTTTTCATAGAGTAGATTGATACTTGTCCTTGAATAAATTTGTACACTAAATTTTATAATGGGTGATTTGTGCCACATGAAAACCAACAAAGTACAAAAAGTAACCGGGCGCCAGATGAAAACATGAAAATACAATCTACCACAAAATGGTTCGTTTGTTGCATTTTCATGTTTTCGCCCGGTGCCCTTGATGTAAAATACAAATCAGCCTTCATAAAATTTCTTATCATAGATATTGTACATGTATTAGCACAATTATATTCACTTTCAAATTGACCTGTTATAAATAATGGCACAACCAAAAACTGTCTTAGTCCTTTTTAGTAAAAATAATTATACAATAATAATTATATAAATTGTTATTTTAATTAGGACTATGAGTATGTAAGTTTTTTTTTTCTTATTTATTAATTAAGAATTAATTATCTGTTAATTTAAAAATATAAATATCTGTCACGGTTTAGAACTGTTCACTATTTAGGGGAGAAAATGTGTAAGCGGCCAGATAGCTCAATTGCTACAGCCGCGGTACATTATTCTGTGGGTCACAGGTTTGAGCCCTGGTCAAGCTGAAAGTTTTTCTCATCCTGTTACTGCAAATAACCATGAGTTTAATTCACTATGCTCTGTAAACATCAGAAATTCAAGTACATGAATCAATATAGTGGGGAAAAAGGTTTAGGTTTAGAACTGTTTCATTATTAAAGAGAAAATGTGTAGCCGGCCAGATAGCTCAGTTGGTCTTCTGAAAGTCATGGGTTCGAGTCATGGTCAGGCAGTTTCAGTCAGGGTTTAGAAGTGGTTTTTCAACTGACACATGTTTGATTCATTTAATAGATTGCATTTAATTTGAAATGGACAAAGGCAGTATTGCGTGATACTTTTAGATCTACAAAAAGCATTTGGTACAGTTGATCACACTATACTGCACATGAAGAAGTTCTTTTTTCTTCTTCTTCATGGAACTTCAAGCATCTGCCATATGTAATGACATTCTTGCATGGTTCAAGTCTTATCTCTGATAGCAGCTGGTGAATGTGGCTGGTACTCCTTCTCTCTGAATACCTATGGTGTCCCCCTGATGTTCATTTTAGGTCCTCTTTTATGTCTAATATATGTCAATGACATGTCTGGAACCCTAAGCAATAAGCTTTTATTGTATGCACAGGCACAAGTATCAGACCTGGGAAGAAAAAATATTACCAGATTGATAAAAAAACCTGTGTTCATCTTAAAAGTGTCACAAACCAAAAAAAAAATGTAAATGATGACCCCCTTTAAAAATATACTTTAAGTTAATAGTATATTTTCAAAGGGGGTCATTATTTACATTTTTTTTTGGACACTTTTAAGATAAACACAGATTTTTTATTAATCAGGTCATATTTTTTCTTCCCAGGTGTGATACTTGTGCCTGTGATTATATGATGATGACTCAGGTATCCTTGTATCTGGTAAAGTAAATCTTAAGATTGGTTTATTGACTATTAATTGTCTTTGCATCTTGGCAAGACAGAGTCTATTCTTTTTGGTTTAAGTTTCAACTTAAACTGGGCCAAGCCTCCAGGTCACATGAAATGGTACTGCTATAAAGTACACACCTTTTGTTAAGTATTTAGGTGCAAACCTGGATCAAATTCTTTTGGCGTCGCCCTTTGATGCTTTGCATCAATGCTTTTCTTGTTTATCATATTCGAGTGATGGGAATTTCTATTTTTTGTAATAAAAGTTTTATTTTTCTACGCAACTGATAGATTTCTTTATCTTTTGTATGAAATTAATGGGTGCTTAATTTCTTACTATTTTGATAGCTGGATGCTTTAGGGTCTGTTTCTTATCATTTAAATAAATTATTTTGTTGTATCTTTATGGGGGATATTTTACTTATTATACGGTTCATATGTTTTATTTCTGATGAACGTTATATTTTTATTAATTTTTGTATTTTTACTAAAAATTCTGTATTCTGATTGATATTTTTTCTAATTAAATGATTTTTCTTCTTAAATCAATTATAATAATGGTCATAGTTAACAATAAACAAATTCCAACAGATATTGAAACAGCCACTGGTACGTTAATGGTTCATTTTAACAGACACTGGCATGTAATTGATCCAAATTAAAAGACACTGGTATGTTACTTCAGATTCAATCTAACAGACACTGGTATGTTACTAATATTGATCCAATTTAACAGACACTGGTATGTTATTGATCCAATTTAACAGACACTGGTATGTTATTGATCCAATTTAACAGACACTGGTATGTTATTGATTCAATTTAACAGACACTGGTATGTTATTGATTCAATTTAACAGACACTGGTATGTTAATGATCCAATTTAGCAGACACTGGTATGTTAATGATCCAATTTAGCAGACACTGGTATGTTAATGATCCAATTTAGCAGACACTGGTATGTTAATCATCCAATTTAACAGACACTGGTATGTTATTGATTCAATTTAACAGACACTGGTATGTTATTGATCCAATTTAACAGACACTGGTATGTTAATGATCCAATTTAACAGACACTGGTATGTTATTGATCCAATTTAACAGACACTGGTATGTTAATGATCCAATCTAACAGACACTGGTATGTTATTGATTCAATTTAACAGACACTGGTATGTTATTGATCCAATTTATCAGACACTGGTATGTTAATGATCCAATTTAACAGACACTGGTATGTTAATGATCCAATTTATCAGACACTGGTATGTTATTGATCCAATTTAACAGACACTGGTATGTTATTGATTTATTTTAGCTGACATTGATATGTTATTGATTCTTTTCAA